AAAAGCAGAGATATTACTTTGCTGACAGAGGTCCGTATAGTCAAAACTGTGGTTTTTCTAGTAGTCACGTATGGATGTGAGAGTTGGACCATAACAAGGCCGAAGAATTGATGCTTTTGAACTGTGGTGCTGGAGAAGACTCTTGAGACTCCCTTGGACGGCAGAGAGGTCAAACCAGTCAGTCCTAAAGGAAATCAACCCTGAGTATCATTGCAAGAACTGATGCTGAAGCCCCAGTACTTTGGCCACCTGATGCAAAGAGCCGGCTCACTGGAAAAGCCCCTGATGCTGGGAAAGATTGAAGGCAGGACGAGAAGCGGGCAACAGGATGAGGTGGTTGGATGGCATCACTGACTCAATGGACATGAGTTTGAGCAAACTCTAGGAGTTGGTGGTGGACAGGAAAGCCTGGTGTGCTGCAGTCCATGGGGTTGAAAAGAGTTGGACACAACTGAACAACAACCCCAGCCGACAGCAGCATCTGCTCCTCAGTTGAGGGGAGCCTGAGCAGTGCTGGCTGTTTAATCAAGAGCCGAGGCCAGAGCAGGGAGGGGCCTTGCCCCCTGTTTTTCCAAGAGACTCTGAGACACAGAAAGGAGGCCCCCGGATCGCTGAGTGAGCGAGAGGCTTGGGCCTTGGGCCAGCCCCCGAGCCTCTGTGGCCCCCCGCCGCCTCTCTCTCCAGGCTCAGACCTGGAGGGTGACTGTGGGGATCGCTGTGCTGTTTCAGGCCGTGCCCAGCTGGCTGTTGTACGGAGTCATGAGGATGGACAGTGGAGAAGGAGGGGAGGGCCAGACTGAGCCACCCGGGCAGTGGCTGAGAATCAAGGTGGGGACCTCCAGGCTGAGGAGAGGACCCAGGGCAGGTGGCTTGGGCACCACAGAAGGACAGGTCTTCCCTGGTGGCTCAGCTAGTAAAGATTCCTCCTGCAATGCGGGAGACCTGGGTTTGATCCCTGGGTTGGGAAGATACCCTAGAGAAGGGAACGGCTACCCACTCCAGTATTCTGCCCTGGAGAATTCCATGGACTGTATAGTCCATGGAGTCACAAAGAGTCGGACGCCACTGAGTGAGGACTTAAAAGTGGGAGTGACTCCATCTGCATTGCTTTCTGAGGACCTCCAGAGACTGCGGGTGGGTGGGTTGTGACGTGTGACGTGTTTCTGGGCTCCAGGAAGTGCCCAGAGGACCAAGGAAGGAAGGAGCGGGGCTGAGATGTTGCCCTGCGGACCCCCTGGCCCGGGTCCCACCGGGCCGTCTGTGCCTTCCTGGCACAGCTCCCTCCCTCCATATGGCAGCCGCTGGAGGCTGGTGGCCGTGCCTGGGAGACCTGAGACCGCTTCCTCCGCCTTGGGAGGGGGGAGAAGGCAGAGCTGAGTGGGGGTAATTATAGACCGCCCTGCTCCAGGCCGGCCCAAACCGGTTCTGTCTATTCCCGGCGTGGCTCAGAGGAGCTGTGGGATGGGAAGCAGGAGCACAGGCAGCTTGGGGGGATCGGAGGGGGAGAGACGGCCAGCTGTCACAGGCACCGCCCCCCCGGGCTCATCAGTGACGCAGGGCCGGCCAGCTTCTCTGGCGGTTGGTCAGGGGTCTGAGGGAGGCATGCTTTCCTTCCCTCAGGGAATTGGTGGGTTTTGTCAGGGAGGCCACCCTTGGATAAGTGACATGAAGTGGCCTGACCTAACTCCTGACAGCGTAACTCCTCCAGAAGAGGAGTCCTGTAGTGAGCCATGCAGATTTGTCATGTGGGGAGACAGCTTGGAAAAGCAGAGGAGCTGGGGTCTTCTGCCCCTCCTTTCCTTTCCAGGACCCTCCCTGTTATAGGGCCTGGACCGTTCTGGCTGCCAGCCAGGGGTCCTCTGCCTGCCTCTTCAGCCTCGCAGCCTGCCACTCCCTGCAGCGTAGGCCTCCCGGCCCCCTTCTCTTCCTTGACCTGGCCGGGGATGTTTGTGTCTCGGGGCCTTTGCACATGCCGTGACTGCTACCGCTGTGCACTTCCCTCTTTGCATGGTGCTCCTGAGTCATCTGTGAGGACTAAGCTGAAAATCTCAACAGTTACAGAGCCTTTCTCTGACCTGCCCATTCAAAGAAGTCCCTCGCCTCCCGGTCCCTCTGGAAGGGTCTTGCTGATGTCCTGTTTACCAAGGTCAGGTCCTTCCCCTTTGTGTGCTGCTGTCCCCTGCAGTGCCTGGCACTTCCTCAATGCAGAGATGTTTGTCCCCCTGGTGAATAAATGGCTATGTGAACGGCTTCTCCTCTGGGGTCTGCCAGGGACCCGGGGCAAAACGACTTTCCCCTTTAATGTCTCCACTTCCGAGAGGCTGGTGCTCCAGAGAGTCTTCTGACATCACCTGGCCAGGGATCTGGCCAGGACCCAAGCATTGAGGAGGCCGGCCCAGAGGCTTGAGCAGATGTTAATCCCTGTGGCTTTTCTACCCCAAGGTTAGAATGACTGACCCAGCACAGGGTCGGCTCAGCTTAGCCTGGGATCATAGATTTTCAGCCCAGCAGCCGACAGGCTCTGTGTCTGAGTCTGTTCCATCCCACTGAGCCGCGGGGAGCCGGCCGGGGCTGACTCTGCTTGTGGCTGATCACCCGCCTTCGGGCCTTGCTGGGGTGGGATGGGCCATTCTTACTATCCGGGAGCCTGAGGTTTCTCCGAGGACAGTGGGGTCTGGATGGGACTTTTCTGCACCCACTGAGAAGGGAAGGATGCGCTTGGGGATCCGTGGGAGGGGGCAGACCTGAGAGCGCAGTCAGTGAATGCACCTGGTTCCTCCAAGAGAACCTTCCAGGGACGGTCCCCCTGGGGACCCTTCTGAAATCTCTTCTGCCCAAAGCTGGTCAATGTTCATAACCTCTCCAAGGCCAGAAGTGGGTTCTGAGGAAGTTGCTCCAGACAGGCCCCAGGCCCACAGTGCGTTACGCAGCTGAGGGGAGAAGACAGTGGGCCCAGCAGGGTGAGTGTTGGGGAGCGCGTCCTGGGGACCACATAGGGTGGAGGCAGTGTCTGCCCAGCCCCAGAGGGCAGAGGGGAGAGATTTCAGCTAAAGAAGACCCTTAAAAAAAAAAAAAGAAGACCCTTACCTGGTGGACTTGGATTTAGGAGGCCAGGATACCGGTCCCGGCCAGCCCGCCCTGGAGCTATCACCTTCCAACATCACCTGATGGGACAGGTCACCGGTGGCTGCTTCCCAAGAGGTCGGTCTGGATCAGCTTCTTTCCTCCCTGACTCACCTGATCGTCTGAGTCATCTGGGGCCATCCTTGCAAATCCTGAGTCCAGGCCCCAGCCCAGGCCTACTGAGCAGAGTCTCCAGGGAGGGTGGCTCTGGCTTGATGATTGCAGCAGACATCTGACATGAGCCCAAAGTATGCAGGCTGGCCCCAGCGCAATAGCAGTGTGGCAGGCAGGGGTGCTCCCTGCACAGCACCCAGGATCACCCCAGACACCCTCACCCTCTGCGGCTGGGGTTGGCAAGGTTCCAGGGCCGATTGACAACAGAGATGAGGGGTGGGAGAGTGAAGACAATTTTGTGTCATCTCATCGGAAAATACCCGCCTCTTCTCTTCTCTTCAAAACGCAACACTGCCTGATGTCAGGGAGGAGAGAGTGTAAAATCCATTTAGTGGGACTCCTGAGCTTGTGCCTTTCATTCTCCTGAGTTATATGGGCAGTGGGCGTTTGAACACTGACACTCAGACCTTATGGGCTCATCCTGGCTGGATTATTGAAGCTGAAACAACAGAAGGACAAGGCGGGGCCTTGCGGATGAGGTACTAACGAAGGGCCCCCTAATTCAGGAAAGAGGTTCATCTGTACTGCTTGGAGGTCGGAAAGCTGGGTAAAGCTGCCCATATGGGGAGCTTTATTTTTTGACAAAATGGACCTCCCCTGAACCTTTCACGTTCCTATTGTTTCACAGTAAGTGTTTTGAAGGTTATTATTTTCCCATTTTATTTATTTATTTATGGCCTCACCACATAGCGTGCAGGATCTTAGTTCCCCAACCAGAAACTGAATCCCAGCCACGGCAGTGAAAGCCCTGAGTCCTAACCACTGGACCGCCAGGGAATCCCCGTGATTTTGCCACTTTAAACAGTCCTGTTTTGAGCATCCTTGCACCTTAGTTTCGTAGGATAAATTGCTAGGAGTGTAATTCACCCCTGGACCACAGGGCCCAATGTAAACCTTAATACTTAAATACATGCACTTTTTTTTTCTTGAATAAGTAAAATATGTAGATGCTTTTAAAATTCAGACAGTACTAAAAAGGAATATAAGTTTGTCCCCCACACCTGGCACCCCAGTTTTACAGACCCCACCTTAGAGTAAAATACGGTAACTATTTTCTGTGTGTATTTTTTCAGTAATATGCTGTTTACATGTATGTTTCTGGTCTCACTTTTTTGTTTTAACACAAGTGGGAATTTTCTATGTGCTTACTTAAAAACAGTATTTCTTTCTGTGTGTGTATTATTACATGCCTGCCTAGCAGTGAATGGGCGGTGACACGCTTTTAGGGTTGAGAGGCCTTCAGGAACAGCTGCAGGGTACAAGGCACAGGGTTAAGGCTGAGGAAGGGACTCAGCATCCACGGCTGGACTCCTTTCCCAGAAGGCTTTGCAGTGTCATGGGGAAAGGGATTTGCAGAAAGCGTGGGAGCCCCCGAGCATCTGAGCAGAAAGTGGAGGAGACTGTCAGAGGTGGGGCTTCCGGGGGTGGTCAGGAAGGGTCCCCGCCATGAGGGTGCAGCCTGGACCAGCCCATCGAGGGCCTGGATAAACATGGGAGGGCGTGGGGGCTGCTGGCTCTGTCTCCCTTGAGCCCACGCAGAGGCCCGAGCTGCAGCTGGACTCGCAAGGCTGGCTTCACGGGAAAGTGGGAGCCGCCATCCAGACACATAAGGGCACATCGCCACTGTTGCTGGGGCGGAAGGCGTGCTTTCTCTTGGTTCCAGATCAGATCTTCTTACCTTTTTTTCCTTTTCTTTTTCCCAGAGGCTCATCCAAAATAGAGGAAGCATGCGAAATCTACGCCAGAGCAGCGAACATGTTCAAAATGGCCAAAAACTGGAGTGGTACGTGATCCCTGCTAGAGCCCCTCCGTGGCTCTGTCTCCTCTTTCCCCTCAGCTCCCCGTCCTGAAGGCCTGACTGAGCCGTCAGCCTTGCAGGCCCCGTTCTCTGACGCCATCGCTGGCTCTACAGACCCGCTGGCCTGCTGTCTGGTTGTTTTGAGCCCACTGGGTTATTTTACAGCTTGGGTCCCAGGGCCTGGGAGAGCGGACTTAGATGATAAGGATCAATAATAGATTATTAAATTCAGATAGACCCATGTGGATTGGTGAACTCTTTAAGGGGTTTCTCCTTAAATTCAGAATGTCAGGTTTCCAGGGATTGACTGTGTAGTACAGGGATGTATACTCACTGTCTCATAATAGCCTATAGTGGAAAAGAATCAGAAAAGGTATACATATGAAGCTGAACCACTTTGCTGCACACCTGAAACCCACAGAGTGTTACAAATCACACACACATCTACTTAAAAAAGAATTTCAGGTTTCCCCGGAAACAGTTCCCTCATTCTTCTATCAGAGTCTGAATCCTGGGCTGAGGGACATTCAAGTGGGTCCAGCAGTAACATTAACCATGGCTGCATTTACTGGGCACTCCCTTAAGCACCAAGCAGGCATTGTTTAATTAAACCATCACAGCAGCACCATGAGGGTCAGTACCATTAATATCCCCATTGCACAGACTTGAAAACAGGCTTGGCCCAGCCCTTTGCCCAGCACGCCACGACGAGTGAGTGGCTGAAGCAGAATTCAGAAGCCAGAATTCCGGCTCTGGAGCCTGAACAGTTCCCTGTGGCTTCCTGACCTTTGGAGTCCTGAATGGCATTTGTGTCCCAGCTCAGACTGGCCACGTGACCCTGGGGAAGTTACCTGGCCTCTCCTCAGAGGACAGCAGGGAAGGGAACAGTCCTGACCCCGCGGGGCTGTGGTGTGGGCTCCGCCGTCCCCACATAGGGCGATCGGCCCAGCAGGGCAGCAGCTCCACTCCTCACTCATGTCAGCAGCACCCCTCCCTCTGGAGGGGGAGGGAAAGCCCTTTGAGGACTCCGGTCAGCAGATTGGCAAACTGCAGGAGCGCTGACAAGGTCCCTGGCCTCGGCCATCTGTGCGCGCTCTCTCCAGCTGGAGCAGGACACAGGCACACACGGACAGCGTCATTAGGGCCTCTGCCCGGAACAGGGCATCCCAGGTCACGTGGCTCTAGAGACTCTCAGGCCTGTGTTGGTGGGCGGAGTAGCCCTTCTGATTCAGCCAGGAAGATTATGGTCAGACCCTGGCAAGGCTGCGGCTTGAGCCGTGTTCCCCAAGGAGAGGCGGGCAGGCGGGGAGTGGCTCCTTGAGGTCTGAGGGGCCAGAGATCTGTTTGAGAACTACCTGAGGGCCTGGAGGGGAGGTTCAGAAAGCCAGTACTTGAGCCCTTCCGGGGCTAATTTCGTAACAAGGCTTCAAACATCGGCATGATTATAACTAGTAATGACCTACCGTACAGCACAGGGAACTCTACACAATACTCTGTAATGGTCTATATGGGGAAAGAATCTAAAAAAAGTGTGTGTGTGTGTGTGTGTGTGTGTGTGTGTGTGTGTGCGCGCACGCTGAAGCACCAATACTTTGGCCACATGATGTGAAGAGCCAACTCATTGGAAAAGACCCTGATGCTGGGAAAGATTGTGGGCAGGAGGAGAAGGGGGCAGTAGAGAATGATATGGTTAGATAGCATCACCAGTTCAATGGATGTGAATTTGAGCAGACTCTGGGAGATAGTGATGGACAGGGAAGCCTTGCGTGCTGAAGTCCACAGGGTTGCAGAGTCGGACACAACTGAGCACCTGAAAAACAATAATATGTATATTTAATATGTATCATTGATACACTTTGCTGTACATCTGAAAGTAACATAACATCACAACATCATAAGTCAACTATACTCCAATTTTATTTTATTTTATTGTTTTTTTTATATATACGCCAATTTTTTAAAAAAGCAGCAAGATTGGATCAAGAAAATCAAGCAAAGACAATGTTGAAACCCAGGGAGGAACTTCTGACTTCTGACTGCAAAGGAAATGAAACCTGGGGCAGGGCCACAGAGGCGGGTGTGGAGGCAGTGGACAAAATGGACTCTCCTCCTCTGAGAGTATTTTTGGTTTCCTGAAAATCAGAAGAGTTTCTCCTGAGCTTTCACAGCATACACTGCGCCTGGAGCCAGATTCTGTGTGTATTTTTATGCTCACCCCAAAAACAAAATACTGTTAAAAGATTTCTTTTTCAATCACGTGGATGTTGCTTTACTTCTAAAATTTGTCACCTCTCTCCCTCCCCCAAATAGTCAAACAAAAATCTTAAGCCATTTTTTTCCCCCCAATGATACTACCTTTCTGGAAATTGTGCACTCAAGTTTGGAACCCTTAAAAATAGGAAAGAAATCAGACACAGTGAAAACCTGGGTGGCTGAGTTTAGTTTCCTGCTCTAAAGGTATAGGGCAGGGCCGGGCCTGCTTGTCTTCCTGCAGCTCAGGAATTCCGTGATTCGGGGTCAGCTGGAGGAGGAGGAGGGGCAGGGGCTTCAGGACGGAGCCGGACATGGCCACTGGGGCTCCCAGTTAGCACAACTCCCACTCCTAGAAGAGGAGGGCTCCCTCTGTCTCCCACAAGTCACATTAGGAGATGGAGACGCGGGAACAGACCTGTGGAAGGTGACGGGGTGGCTAAGTACAGGACAGCCCGGGCTTCAGTGTGGTTGCTGCGGCTGCCCTCCACCCGTGGGCACTGTCCCCACGCACTCAAGTTCATAGGGGCTTCCCAGGTGGCTCAGGGGTTAAGAACCCACCTGCCAGTGCAGGAGATGCAGGACACATGAGTCTTCCTGACTCTGGGTCAGGGAGATCCTCCTGGAGAAGGAAGTGGCAACCCACTCCAGTATTCTTGCCTGGACAGTCCCATGGACAGGGTAACCTAGCGGGCGACTGTCCATGGGTAGCAGAGTCAGACACTACTGAGGGACTGAGAACTCACGTACACACTCAAGTTCATGGCGTCCACATCCCCTTTCTCTTTCTGGACGTGAACGTCCTGGGAGACTGGACCCTGTGAGTTTTCCCAGGAGAGACTGCAATGTGGACAGGGTTAGACCGGAAGAGCTGGGAGCTGTCGGGTGTCGGGGGAGGTGAAGTCAGACTTGGAAAAGGGGAGGTGGTGGGCAGTGTGGTGCAGCTGGGTCTTGATTGCCCATCTTTTCCGGAGCACCCCCACCCGGCCCCATCCCACAATGCCATCTGGAATGCTGGTTCCAGGCTCCCCAGGGCTGGGGAACAGCGTCGGGATGGGGTGGGGGCGGGGGCTCCGCTGGGATCAGGTGGCCTGAGGTCCAGGCCTGCACCTCAGCTCCCCCAGGCCAGTCTCCTCCTCTCTCAGGGACTCAGGAGAGCTCAGCCCCCTCCCCAGGAGTCATCTGAGTGGCTTCCAGAACCTGGAGCCCCCCTCTAAGGCAGAGCTTACCCTCTTCTGTTCCAGCTGCCGGAAGCGCTTTCTGCCAGGCGGCCCAGCTGCACCTGCAACTGCAGAGCAAGCACGATGCGGCCACCTGCTTCGTGGACGCCGGCAACGCGTTCAAGAAAGCCGACCCCCAAGGTGAGGGCCTCTGCAAACCCCGAGCACTGGCCGAGCCCCCCCCAGAAAAGGCCTCAGGTTTTCGGCCACGCCACACCAGGCCGCGCTTGCACTTTAACTCGAGAATTGGCTCCCTTCCGCCTGGCGTCCGGCTGCCTCTCTCTGGCTCCCAGCCTCCGCCTCCCCCTCCTGCTCTGTGCCTGCAGCTGATGGCGCCCCTCCCGGAGCCTGGGAGCATGTGGGAGTGGGAGTTAACATTTCAGACCCACCGCATGCCCAGGAGAGAGGAAAATCTGTTCTGTTGTCAGAATTAACACGCGGAGGGGGTGGGAGGGGGTTCTGAGACCAGCCAGGTAGGAGTCTCTGCCAAAAAAGGAGCGGAAATTATCCTGACCTGGCTTCCCTTAGCCCCAGGGTTGGGGGATCAGAGAGAGCCGAGCAGAGATGCGGTTGCCAGAGAGTAAGTTCCTTCAGATGAGAGCGTGTTGGGGATCGAAGCCCAGTTTGGGGCTGACTCACCGTGAGGAAACCGTGTTTGTCCCCCGCTGGGCTCATCTAAAGTAGATGCATGGCCCAATGGGTACCAGACTGTTGGATTGGGGGCCGCTGGAATTTTAGTGTTTTTTGGGTTTTTTTAAATCTTGGTGCCAGACACGGGTTACCAACTTTTAATTTTAACAAACAAAAGGCTTTTTTTTTTAACGACCATCTATTGTCACTGTCCACTCACAAGAGAATGGGAAATACGCGAATATTAATTTAGAAAAAAAAGGGAGATGCATCATCTTGGAATAAAGGCTTGTCCTTCCCAAGAGAGGGCAGTTTGCACCAGTGCCTGGGGTCTCTCCAAGGATCTGTGAGCCCCAGTTCACATGCCAGCTCAGGGGCAGTGGTGGTGAATTCATCACCACCACCACGACGTTTTGGTCCCCAGTCGAGGGTTGATGTCTTTGCGGGCCAACTGTTCTCTGTCCGCAGTCTTGCTGGGCCGCTCCTCTGCAGCCGGGTGTCTCTAAGACATTGGCCTCGGTGGTCACATGGTGCGCTCAGCCTGGCTCGAACCAAGGGGAAGCTTCATGACCATGTGTGTCCCAGTGACTCTGCCCAAAGCTGAGCCCACCTGGCTGAGCTGCAGCAGGCCACGTGGTGATGTGACGAGGAGCCAGGGTTCGGGTCACACGATGATGACTGCAGTGATGACCGTGCATTTGTTTTCAGCTTGAATCACCCTGGGAAGTCTGCGCACCCCCCTCAGAGGGTCCCGCCCCTGCCCCCAGCCTGCCTTCTCTCTGGGGAACTGGTCGACCTGGAAATGCTGCCCAGGCACCTGCCGCCCCCGCCCGCCCCCGAGTGACTGGAAGGACTGGTTCCTGGGGTGGAAGCTGAGGCTGGGCTTCTCAGCAAGTGCATGGGGCAGATTTGCCTTTTAAACAAGCCCCAGCACTTCTGGCAGACAGGCCCCACCGGGTACTAGCATGTGGTGTCCTTCCCCAGCTTTTGATCTGAGGCTTTTCAGCTGGAAGCCGGTCTCTGTGGTGTGTGGGGGGCGCTAGGGCCCAGGTGGGGGTGTGACCCGTGCCTGGCCTCCAGAAGCACGGAGGATGGCTGAGGTGTCAGGTGGGCAAGCGGTGGTGGTTGGGTGTTATGTGCCCGTCGTGGGGCACAGAGGGCAACCTGGTTTGTCTCAACATCAGCCAGCCTGCTTCTCTGCCCTGGATGCAGAGGCCGAGACGGGGCAGGTTTGGCACTGGGGGCGGCTCTCGGGGGACGGAAGGCCCTGTGGTGCAGGGGAGAGCCTTATGGGCAGGGCCGGGGTTGGAGGTTCTTGTCGCTGAGCAGGGGGCAGTGTTGAAGAGGCTCCCAGCACCCCTGCCTCATGACTGACCACCCCCCTACTCAAGGAGGGTGGGGCTCACTGGTCTCTGAGGCCCATGGGAGCCTGTTGCCCTGTGACCTGGGGCCATCAACGACGCCTTTTGGTCTCCACTTCCTGGTCAGGGAAAGCAGAGGTCACACGTGAGCGAAATCACAGACGGGCCCAGCCCGACACCAGCGTGGGATAAATGTCTAGAAGGGGTGGCCCCGGCCCTTGTCAGGTGGGGGCCTGGCCTGGCCACTTGCCTTGTGAATCAGAGCCAGAGGGCCTGCTTGGATCCCTGCCGGGTTTCCGCACGCAGGCGGCCGGCTCCCTGGGGCCTTGCTGGCCTCCCCTGCCTCAGACACCTCCACCTGTGTCCGAGCTTCCTGCGGAAGTCCTGGAAGCCCCCCTCCCGCCCCCAGACAGGCAGCTGAGCCTGCGCCTCAGGGCGGCCAGGGCGGAAGGCGGGATTTGGTGCCTGCCTTCACTCTCCCTCTAGAGTCTGCCCTGAGTGTGGGCCGGGGGTGGCCTGCCGCCCCGTGGTGGCTGGGAGTGGGGAGGTGCTGCCATAGTTGTCATTGGTTCCCCAGAGTTGCCCTGCTGGTTCCAGCGGCCGCTGAGTAGACTCAGGCCAGGGAGGCCCCTTACCCTGCCCGCCTGGTGGCCAGGCACAGGGCTATGTGCGTGTGCACCCCCACTCACCCTCTCCCGTCTGCTCCCCTAACCTCACTGCCATTCTCCGGCATCTGCTGTGTAGCAGACACATGGCATCTTCCTTTTACCCATTCTGCTGCTTTGTGGGGTTCTGCGATTTGCCCCTGTTTTACTAAGAAGTCCAGTCTCCCTAAGGCCAGTGCCTTCCCGTCTGGGCCTGAGCACCGCCCTCACACCACCTGCCTCCCAGGGCTCCAGGTTTTCGCAGGCGGATGGGGGGGTCAGGTTGCTGGGGTTTGCGGTGCTTGTCCGCGGCTATGTGGGGCTGTCCACGGCTGGGGTCCCGGAGACTGGAGATAAGCCGGTTGTAGGCGCGTGTCAGCAGCTTGTCCGCTAGCATGCCAGCTGGGGTGTCAGCTGGCAGCCTGCGCTTGCAGGGACAGCTGTCCTGGAGCGAGGGGCCTCAACCCTGTGTGAATCCACACTGCTGGCTGCGCGTACACCCTCCTCCCCCGCTGCAGGGGCCCTTTGGCCAACAGCACTCAGGCCAGTGCCACTGGGCCTCGGGCGGCTGCTCTGGGTGGGGGCGGAGTATCTCTCTTGCCCGGGAGCTTCCAGCCTCTCTGCCTCCAGGGCTCTGAGCTCACAAGGGGCAGCCTTTGCCCCCTTGGCCTGCAGAGACCAAGCTGTGTGCCCCGGCATTCCAGGAGAGGGAGCCCCCGAGTTGCTTACAGGGAGGCCCCTCCTGGCTGCATTCAACCCCCAGGGTGGGGGACAGGGCAGAATGGGGTGTGCAGAGCCCGAGCGCTGCAGCCCTGCCTCCTGGCTTTTTAGCATCCTTACAACTGCGTTGTTAGCTCATCAGTTGCTTTGGGAAATGCTCTGTCACAGAGCGTGTGAGCATGTGTGTGTGTGAGAGACAGTCCCATTGCTTTCTCCGGCTGTATTTGTCTGTGGCGTTGTCTCTCTTCCCTCTTCCTCTCCTGCCGCTTTTTCCTCTTCCCTGCTGCCCCAGGCTTCCACCTGTCAGCCTCACGACCTTCACCCCGTGGTGTACATTCTCTGGTCTTTTGGGGTTCCCCTGAGGCCTTGCACCCAACCTCCCAAGCCTCTGTCCCCCAGAATAGCTCTCAGACACCCCCTTTTGGCCTATGAGTTGGGGGGTGGGGCTTGTGGACTCCCTGAAGGACCAGCCACAGGTCTGAGGCTAAGAGCCTGTATTGATGCATCTCCCTGGGCGATGAGACCTTGAGCCCCCCTTGAAAGCAGGCACCGGGCCTGTGCCTTCTGGTGGCATCTCAGCCTGGTGGGCCCTGCTGACGCTGAAGCCCTAGAGGCAGGCCAGGAGCCTTCCCAATGCCCCGGACTGTGGGTGAACGCTCAACCATGCCCCAGCTCAGAGCCCACCTGCTGTGGTCTGTCCAGGCTCTCTGTCTTCCTCCTCCCACCTCCCCCAACGCCCTGTCCTCCTGAGATGCATTAAAATGATGTTTAAAAAAACATCCACCCGAGAGCTCATCGCTATCTGCTAGAAAATGCTTCCCACTCATGCTTCTCTCTCCTCCAAATAACTTGTCAAAAAAAAAAAAAAACCTTTTTCAAAGTTCCAAATTTAAAACGTCGCGCGAGAGAGTACAACAGAGGTACCCCAGTTCTTCCTCCCGAGCGCCACCCTGGTGTGTGTTGTGTTGGTGACACCTGTGGTCTGAGGAGCTGGCGGGCGGCGGTGCCGGGCTGATGGGCGCACGGGGATATGGCGGGGGCCTCGGGGTCACGGCACCCTGCCACCTCCTGCCACGGTGGAGGCCAGGCAAGGGCAGGGCGCACGGCTGGTTCAGGTTCCCACCGTGGAAGGGTGGCGGAGCCCAGGCAGGACCTGGGTGTCCCTCCAGTGTCAGGCTTGGCCGCGTCCGCCAGCAGCTGGCCCCCTAGTGCAGGGCCTCGGCAGGTCTGGCTTCAAACCCCCAGGGAGTCTGACACAGTGCCGGCTGCGCCCTGTCCCAGGGTCACTGGGAAGGTGGTGACATCGTGGTGACCCCGGGGGGGACGGCAGCCGCATGGGCAGGGCTCCCCTGAAAGCACGTGCCCAGCAGGCCAGTCAGCAGCATTAATGAGTCAGACCAAGTTTCCCGGGGCTCGGGGGTCCCCTTCTCCCCCCTGCGCCCAGAATCGTCAGCCTGCCCCCGCACCCCAGTGCCCGCTGAGCCCTCCGCGGCAGCCCCTCGCCTGCCTCCTCTCCTTGGCCTCTGCTGAAACGACTTCACTTTCTCATTTCTCCTCCTCGCCTCTCTTGTTCTCTCTTCAGAGGCCATTAACTGCTTGATGAGAGCAATTGAGATCTACACAGACATGGTAAGCGTCACTGCGTGTCCTGTCTCCTTCCCTCCCCCTACCCGCTTCAAGCCCTGCCATATTGCCTCCCCTCCCATCCCCTCCCCTTGCCCCGAGAGCAGGTGAGAGACCGGGAGGGGAGGCAGAAGGGGGCAAGGGACTGTCCCCAGAGCCGCATTGGGCTGGCTGGGTCCTCACACAGCTCCGTGCCAGCCTGGCTCCTGGTGGCAGCTCCCAGCACATGAGAGGGGCAGACGGCCCCTCCACAGGTCCTGTCTCCAGCCCCCCATAGGCCATCATTGTCCTCACTTGTAGGCATTACCTCTGTTGGGGCTCTCACGTGTCCATGGAGTTTCCCCTTCCCCAGCCTCCCCCGGCCCAGAGTGAGCTCAGCCCCCACCCCGCCCCAAGGAGCATCCCGTCAACAGATGAGGCCTGGCTGCTGTTCCGAGCCCAGGGAGCCAGCCCGAGGCCCCAAGCCAGGCCCCATCCACGTCCGGCACACACACCGCCCCCCCCCCACCCACCCACAGGGACGCTCGTCCTGCCCTAGCGGGTCCGGGCGACGCTGTCTGCTATTGCAGTGGGTGCTGCAGGAGATACTGCGCTGGGCAGTTCAGGCTCCAGAGCGGCAGGAGGTGCTCAGCCCCTCTGGGAGCCGGGCCGCCTTGGGGAAGGCCCCAGGCACCTGCGGGGGGAGCTGGAGAGTGGGTGAGGAGCAGGGCCATCTGAGCGCACGGGAGGGGAGGTCGGGAGGCTGGCTCTCTCTCGGACGGTGGGGACGTTTGGGTTCTCAGCCCTGGACTCTGGGCTGTTCCTCCCAGCTCTCTGGACCAGTCACATGTGCCCCCGGCCCAGGCCTCTGGCCAGCCCCAGTGCACGTATTTCTGGTGTCGCCCCATCTGCTGTGCCCCATGGAGGCTGGGTGTGGGGGACATGCCCACAGTCACCCAGTCAGGGCAGCACTCAGACCCAGGCCTGTCACACGAGAGCCTCCCTCGTAAGCCTCGTGCCCCCCTGCCTCTGGGACCCTCCTTGGAGGACCTCCCCTCCTACAGTTGGCCGAGAGCTGAGAATCCAGTTTCAGGGGACCAGGAGTCGAGGCAGGGGGCATGTGGTTGAGCTGGGCGGAGCACTCGGGACCCCGTCATCACTGACGGCCCCTTCTCATGTCTCACCCAGGGCCGCTTCACCATCGCGGCCAAGCACCACATCTCCATCGCCGAGATCTACGAGACGGAGCTGGTGGACATCGAGAAGGTGGGTGGCAGGGGGCCCAGCCTGGCCAGTGGTGGGGAGGGCTGCTGCAGCCAGTCCTCTGGGACCAGGCTGGGGGCCTGGGGCGCAGCAGAGCCGGGCCTGCAGGTGATGAAGGCCACCTGAGCCCCTCTCCCCTGCCCCATGTCTCCCCAGGCCATCGCCCACTATGAGCAGTCTGCAGACTACTACAAAGGCGAGGAGTCCAACAGGTACCCGGGGCCCCCCTGCCCGCCCCCGCCCCTGGCAAGGGCCCCGCCACCACCGACCCCCCCGCCCCTCTCTCTGCCCCTCTCAGCTCGGCCAACAAGTGTCTGCTGAAGGTGGCCGGCTACGCAGCGCAGCTGGAGCAGTACCAGAAGGCCATCGACATCTACGAGCAGGTGGGGGACAGCGGGGCCCGAGCCCCACTCTCTGGGGACGGCACTGCACCCCACCCTGCCAGCCGGTGCCCCTTCTCCCTGCCTCCCACCCTCCCCCCCGACTTCTCTGCAGTGTCGTCGGTCACCCCCATACCCTCAGCTTGTGCTTGGCCTGGCTGAGCACCCTCCACCCACGACCCCATGTGGTGTCATTGCACTCTCCCCAGAGAGTCCTTCCCACACTCCTCACCAGGGCCTCCCAGGCAGAGTAAGGCTGACTCCCAAACAGGGAAAGAGCAGAAAGAACCGTGAGGCCCAGGATGGCCAGTGGCAGCTGAGGAGCCTGCAGAGGGGGTGGGAGGGGGCGTCCCCTGGGTGTGCAGGCTCCGTCCTGGGCGGGGTGGGGCCCCCTGGTGGGCTTAGCCTGGCCGGTAGACAGGCAGGCAGCTGGAGGAGGAGCGCGGGGCGGGCGCCGCCTCATGTTCCGCAGCCTGCCACCCCTCTGCCCACTGGCGTGCCAGCCTCCTGTCAGCCCGACAGCGGGCCCGCCGCCCCCATCACCCGCTCGGGCGCCTCCGGGAGCCCACGGACAGCTGGCCTCAGCCCTGGGGCCACACGCCCACCCCCCACGTGCCCTGGTCCTGGGTCTCTCAGACCTGACGCAGACTTTCCCCGGGCTGGTCTCTGGCTTCCCTGCTCTTGGGGTCCTGGGTTCACAGGGCATCGCTGGGCATGGACCTAGTTCCAAGCTGCCCCCAAGTGCCTGGCAATGACCCGACCCTCTGGCTGCCCACCGCCTCATGCCCGCAGGTGGGGACCAATGCCATGGACAGCCCGCTCCTCAAGTACAGCGCCAAAGATTACTTCTTCAAGGCTGCCCTCTGCCACTTCTGCATTGACATGCTCAACGCCAAGGTGAGCCCAGGTCCCGGGGCCCCCGGAGTTATCCCATATACACACGGGGAGAAAGGCCAAGGTGAGCCCAGGCCCCGGGGCCCCCCAGGGTTACCCCACACAGACTGACCGCCCCTGGAGCACTGTGTCTGTCACTGCACCAAGTTACCTGTCAACCTCAGGGGAGGGGCAGGTCCCTCGCTCCTCTCTGGCCCTGGCAGCTCCTTTGGGCAGGAAATGCTTGCTCTCCCTGCGCTTCTATCCATGATGTCACTCACTCCGCCTCTGTACTCTTTGCGTTTCCAACTCCTGGCTTGCTCGGTGTCAGGGATTTTCTTCTGTGGGAGCATTTTTGGAGTCCTTACCACAACCCATGAGGTTGGCACCACGGTCGCCCCACTTCACAGAGGAAGACACTGAGGCTGAGACACATGGGTCTCTCGTTCAAGGCCACATGGCTAGTAAATTGCCCCAGGAGTCCAGACCTTTCTGACTGCTGATGTTTGAACCAGAGCCTGCCTGCCCCACCCGTCCTCAGGGCCTCTCAGCACGAGCAAGGTCAGGGCTCGGAGAGGAGCTGGGTTCTTCTGGAATCCGTGGTTTCCCGGGGTCTCCAGCTGCCTGCCCTCACCCACACAGTGTGCCTGAGCCCCACCCTCCCTCCTTCTGCGGGCACCTGCTAGGGCAGGTGAGAGCTTGGGCTTTGGGGTCAGGCTGGTTCAGATGCCCAACACGTGTCCTGAGTCCTGCATTGCCGTCTCTGGGTCTGTTTCCCACTTGCAAAAAGGAGTCACCATCCTTTGACCCTCCTTGGGTCCTCACGAGGGTTAAACATGAGGCGTCAGGCCTGGCGCAGGGGACGTGCACCTACCCGAGCGCCAGCCTAAGGAAGCCGCCTCCCTCCCCGGGCCCCTGTCCCCTGCCCTCCACCCCCACCACAGCTGTCTCTGCAGCCAGGCTGGCGGTGAGCTCAGCTCTGGGGAGCCTCTCCACCAGGCACAGAGCCCCGTGTCTGGAGGCTGGGGTGGGGGTCTAGACAGCTGACTTAGGGCTGGAGCAGCTCCAGGCCCCTGCAGCTGTCAGGGCGTCTTCGTCAGCTCGTTCCCTCCTTCCCCCCCACCATCCTTGCCGACGCTTAGCTCGCCGTTCAGAAGTACGAGGAGCTGTTCCCCGCGTTCTCCGACTCCCGGGAATGCAAGCTGATGAAAGTGAGTGTGTGCTGCGGGGGCCTCGGGCCGCTCCTCTCCCGTGTCAGGGGCTTGGGCTCCAATTAGCGGTCACTGAGATTTGTGCAGTGTTTCTCAGGGGCCTTTTATTATCCCCGGCCCAGTCTCATCTGCCATGGGTCCCCGTTTTCTGGATGAGACAAGTAAGACTTAAGCGGAGATGGAGCCGGGGCAGAGCAGGGAGGCTGTGGGTTCTCACCCACACGGGCACCCATGGATGGGTGATCCTCCGTGTCAGTGACCTTCCGAGCTGAGGGCAGGTTGGAGCACAGCCCCTTCCTCCCGGGCAGCCTGGGCACCCCTGACTCTCACCCACGCAGATACTGTGTGTGTGGAGCTCCTCCGGGTCAGGCCTTGGCCTGTGTGGCTCCTGAGCCCCACCCCCCGTTTTTTTTGCAGAAGTTGTTAGAAGCCCACGAGGAACAGAATGTGGACAGCTACACCGAGGCGGTGAGTGGCTGGTGGGGGTGGCTGCCCTCGTCAGAAGTGGTCCTGCGAATTTCCTCCTTTTTGTCTCTGGCCCCAGCCCCTGGCTGTGGATTCCTTTCTCCCGCCACCCCAGAACCCTCACAAGTAGCCCCAAGAGGTGCAGGGAGTAGTCTCCCCATCTTAGAGCTGAGCTGGGATTCAAACCCACGTCTTGTCTGCTCCTGCAGGCCAAGGTCTTTGCACCCCTCAGAGTCCCCCTGGGTGAGCAGTGGAGGGAGTCTCAGGTCGGGCACTCTGGGTGACCCTGGAGGTGCAGGGAGGGAGGGGTGAGCCACATCATCCCGCTTCCCTCGCCTCCCGGAAAGCTGGAGGCAGGTGGCACTAGGGGTGCAGGAGAGGTGGCCTTGGGAGGCCCCTTTCCAGCAGCTTCTCTGATAACAGTCTCCCCACAGAGATGCTCTCCCTGTCCGTACCCTGTGGCGAGCATTCTGGAATTGTTACATCCAGCCCAGGTGCCCCAGACTGGATCTGGATCTGTCCAGTGTGATTCTCCCCGGGGGCCCCTCACGAATCATGGCCGCCTGAATGATGTCAGGGACCAAGCTCGGCCGGTCCATCCTGCCCCAGACGGCTGGCCGGGGGCGGGTGGCGGGAAGCTCAGCGATGGAGCACAGGAGATGGGAGAGAAGGGGGCCCGACAGGTGGGGGTTCTCTCTGCCCACCCCCCTTCCACCTGCCCGCAGTGCTCAGAACAGGCCTTTGTCACATTTCCAGGCCTCAAATTCCCATCCATTAAACAAGAAAGCTGGACTTTTTTTTTTCCCAGCTGTAAAATCTTTTTTCACCCATGGGAGTCCTCATGCCTCAGCCAGTAAAGACACGGAAGGAGACGCTCTGGCCGGGGTCAGGGCTACACATCCCCTCGCCCCTGCTCAGGGACGGGGCGCTGACAGGACCATCTAGAGGATCCTGAACAGAGCCCGTGGGGCTGGGGCCGGGGACACAGTGGGAGGCGAGGCCGGGCGCAGGGCGGCCGCTCACCCCGAGCCCGTCGCCCGGCGCGCAGGTGAAGGAGTACGACTCCATCTCCCGGCTGGACCAGTGGCTCACCACCATGCTGCTGCGCATCAAGAAGACCATCCAGGGCGACGAGGAGGACCTGCGCTAAGCCCCGCGTGGCCCCCGGCGCCCGTCTCCCCGCCCCGTCCGCTCTCCCCCGGCCAGGCCCTCCAGCGAGGATCGCCATGTGAGCCCAGAGAGAAGGGGGCCTGAGACCCTGGCTGCGAGACCTTCCCTCCCACCGAGGACTCTGCAGCCACCCCGCGGGCTCAGCACTGCCTCGGGGGCCCCCGAGGCCAGGCCACTGGCCAGATGGTCACCCACTGTTCTCGCTGCATCCCTCGCCTCCTGCCCCTTTATTTAAGCCCCCAGAGCTGCCCTTCACCACCCCAACACGCAGGCTCTCTGGCGCAGGCCTGTTCGCTGTGGATGCTGCCGGGGGTCGGAGTCAGCATCTGGGCGCCCCTCTCCCAGCCAGCTGAGTCGCGGAGACAGTGTCTCGTCTCCACTTTCCTCCCTGGCTGAGCTCTGGGCCCACGTAGCCACCGTGATTTGCGCTCACCACTCAGGAGGGTGTGGCTCCTTCCTCCCACCCCGCACTGGGAGCCCCCAGCCTCCTGCAGCCCCAACCTCTCAGGATGGACCCAGCCCTGGAGCTGCGAGGGTCGTCCCCACACCCACCCCTCCGTCTCCTCCCCGCGCTTCCAGGTGGTGTTGGGAAGCCGCAGCTGCCTGAGGAAGGAAATAAAAGACACACTTGTGCATAAGTCTCCTCCTCACCTTTCTCCCCCTTGCCCTCAGGCCTCTGTCCCATCTTCCTGGCCCTCCTGACCACCCCCTGTCACCCCACTTGGGCTCTGGGCACCCTTTGTGGGCAACAAGAGGGCAAGCTTCCCTGGCAGGATGCGTTGGGTTAGAGCTTCCCGTAGGGAAGGCCCAGCGTGGTTGGTCTAGGGAGGGGTGGGCCACGGGCTTGGGGTCTTGAGCCCTGGGCCCTCTGGACCCTGGCTTCCTCAGCTGGGATGATGGATGGCAGTGCTCCCCGCCCCAACCCAGAGCTGGCAGAGGATGCAGGCAACATACAGAGAGGTGGAGGGACTTCCCTGGTGGTCCGGTGGCTAGAATCCGCCTTCTAGTGCCGGGGCCACAGGTTCGAGCCCTGGTCGGGGAGCTGAGATCCCACATGCTATGAGGCAGCTAAGCCCAGGAGCTGTAACGAAGACCACGATGCTAAGACCCGATGCAGCCAAGTAATTTTTAAGAAAGAGTGGAGGGGACTTCCCCGGGTGGCCCAGTGGTTAAGAATTCATGCTTTCTTTGCAGAGAACATAGGTTCAGTCCCTGGTTGGGGAACTAGGATCCTGTAGTCTGTGAGGCATGTGTGTGTGTGTGTGTCAGTCAGTTGTGACTCTTTGCTACCAGGGCCTCTTTGCGACCCCATGGACTATAGCCCCCCAGGCTCCTCTGTCCATGGGATTTCCCAGGCAAGAATACTGGAGTGGGTTGCCATTTCCTTTTCCAGGGGATCTTCCCGACTCAGGGATCGAACCCAGACAGATTCTTCACCACCTGAGCTGCCAGGGAAGCCAAGGCCAAAAAAAAAAAAAAAAGGTGGAGGAGGCACACCAAGTCTCCCAGCCTCACGCCACAGGTCCGTGCTTCTCTGGAGGGCAGACCGAAAGCCCCAGGGGCACTGTCCCATCTGTCAGAGGCGGAGGAGGGAGCAGCTTCGGCAGGTGGAGTACAAGGACAAGTGGGTGTGGGGAGGGCGAGAGCAAACAGCAGGAACTCTTTGCCCAGGAAAGGAGGGCAGGGACCGGCCTCCTCCTCCTCCTGATTCAGCACGTGGACCTCCGTCAGGTGGACGGTCTGCTGTACACGTGCTTCCAGCCAGCCCTGGGCCAGGCCCATCCCCACTGGGGGTGGGAGGACAGCCGGAGGAGGGTCAGTGCCAGAAGGCGCATTCGGTGTCACTGCTAAGACAGGATGTGAACCGGAGCTGCCTGGGAAACCAGGGCAGGCTCCCTGGAGAGCTGCTCCAGCCTCGAGCCTGGAGGGAGCTCGGGAACGGTTCAGGCTCACCATGTGTCAAGAGAATGGCCTCCATGTGACGCTCTGCCCTGCTCTCCTGGCCCCCTCTGCTTCTCCCACAGCTCTAATCAATTGATAATGGCTGCCTCAAGCTCAGTTAAGACTCCTGAGACCTCAGATTGATTACCAATGTCTGCCATGGCACTTGCAGAAGGCTAAGTAATGTAGTGATTCTCAACCCTGGCTGTGCTCACTTAAAATCATATTAAAAGTGCTCAAGGGACTTACTTGGTGGTGCAGTGGTTAAGAGTCTGCCTTCCAAAGAAGGGAACGCAGGTTGGAACCCTGGTCTGGGAACTAGATCCCACATGCTGCAATTAAGACCCGGCCCAGCCAAATAAATTAATTTTTTAAAGCCTAAAGAACACATTCTTTAGAAGTAGAATAACAAGATTCCCCTCCTCCCACTTAATCCCCGCGTATCTACTAAGCACCTACTGTGTGCCATGCCCTGGTGCAGTCCCTGGGGTTACAGCACTAACCAACATAGCTAGACCTCCGTTTGACACAAACTCCTTTCTTTTCATCATCTTCCAGATCGAATCTTGCCTTGGAGAACTCTCTTCTCATGGCTCTTAGGCAACAATGTCCCAGGTGCTTGGCAAAGGGTCTGGTACATAGTTTAGGGATCTTAACGTATTTACTAAATGCTCACTTCATGTCAGGCCTTATGGTCCAGGTATTGGGGATTTGACTGTGAACAAAGGAGATCCAGTCACTGCCTTCATGGGTCTTGCAGTCTGCATGTGCATGCGTGTGTGTATGTTCTCTTTCTGCCTGGAAACAGGTGACAATATTACTCAAGGTGGCCAGGACAGCTGGCCAATTCATGTCTTCTGGAAATAACATATCTGTATACACAGAGTCCCCACACCCTTGATGCTCTTCTAAGGAAAAACATGTATATACATGAATCCCAGAAGACCTCCTCCTTTCTCCAGCACTTATTATCACATCGGTCAAGGGGTTTATTCTCCCCCAGCCTCCGTTTCATTTTCTATAAATTGGGATAATAAACTTCTTTCCAGAGTTGTTGCAAGAGTTTATTGAGATAAATTCATAAAGGATATCTTGGCACAGAGTAAGTGCTCAGTATATGTTGAATAAATGAAGGCAGGGTAACAAGAATAGGGTAGCTGTGAGGATTCAATGAGATCATCAGCCAACATGACTGGCATAAAGTCAGCTTTCAGTAAAGAAAGAAAAAGTGAAATGTTAGTCACTCAGTCCTGTCTGACTCTCTGAGACCCAATGGACTGTAGCCCGCCAGGCTCCTCTGTCCATGGAATTCTCCAGGCCAGAATACTGGAGTGGGTAGCCATTCCTTTCTCCAGGGGATCTTCTTGACCAAGAGGTCGACCCCGGGTCTCCAGCATTGTAGGCAAATTCTTTACCATCTGAGCCACCAAGCCTTTTTCAGTAATAAGGTGAAGATTATTCGCCAGGACAGATAGCTAGAACTGTTTCCTTAGGGTAAGCAGAATGCATAAAGGTGATGGGAGAGAATCCCCGGGCGGTCCATTGGTTAGGACTACGCACTTTCACTGCCTAGGGTCTGGTTCAATGCCTGATGGGGGAAACTAAGATCCCATAAGCAGCACTGTAAGGCAAAAAAAAAAAAAAAAAAAAAAAAGATTTGAAAGTGATGTGATTAAAACAATAAACTATGGCGGTATCTTCTTTGGGTTCCAATACTGACTGCGGCTTCTAACTGATCTTAGACAAATTACTTCGTGCCTCAATTTCTTGATCCGTCAAACATAGTATCTACCTCTGCCTACTTGTGAGTTTTAAGTAAATTGATAAATAAGCACTTAGTTCCTGGCATGTAAGGGCTATACTGAGTTTTATGTTTCTTATTCTGCCTTCAGCACAGCCCAGAGCAAGGACTACCACGTCCAGCCTTTAGGTCATAATCTGCAAATCGCAGTCGCCTCGGCCCTGAAAAGGACCAAGCACGAGCGCGCAAGCGCGTTGAGTCCAAGTCTGGAGAGCAGCCCGGCTGGCGGCCATCTTTGTAAAGGGCAGAGACGGCAGCTTCTTTACGTAATCCGTCTGCGCGCCTCGCGGGCGCCCGGCGATCCACGGGTAGAGCGGGCCGCTGTGGGGGTTCTGGGAATGAGTGGTTGAGGGACATGATGGGGGAGGCGGCCGTGGCCGCAGGGCCTTGCCCGCTGCGCGAGGACAGCTTCACACGCTTCTCATCGCAGAGCAATGTGTATGGACTGGCAGGCGGCGCGGGCGGGCGCGGGGAGCTGCTGGCCGCCACCCTTAAAGGCAAGGTGCTAGGCTTCCGCTACCAAGACCTCCGACAGAAAATCCGGCCCGTGGCCAAGGAGCTGCAGTTCAATTACATTCCCGGTGCGTGGCGCCGTCGGGCTGGGGGCTCGGAACGGAGTGTTGAGAAGGTTTCTGAGGCTTTGTCTTGGGCCAGGTCACCATGATGGGCGAATGGGATCAGGGCGATGGTGATTGAAGGGGATTGAAGCTGGTAATGTAGAGGCACTGGGGTCAGACGATAGGGATAATAGGGGCCTGAAGTAGTTCGGGTTCAGGATGACTCAGAAACCAGGATTATTCCTACCCTGGTGATGGTGAGCAGAACCCACTGGGACCCAACAGTCATAATTTGTGGTGGTCAGGGATGACTAAGCCCTAGAGGTCAGGGGTCACCGTGGTTGGAAATATTGGGGTCACGAGCCTGCCTGGAATGTGAACTTTGAACTCTCCTCTCCCAGTGGATGCAGAGATTGTCTCCATTGACACCTTCAACAAGTCACCCCCAAAGCGGGGTCTGGTTGTGGGGATCACGTTCATTAAGGTACCCGGAGCCCATCCATCTACCCATTTTCTCCTCCTTACTGAGTCTTCCCCAAATCCCTCTTGCTGCCTCTACCTTCCCCTGAGGCCAGTCTCCTCTCCCAGGATTCTGGGGACAAGGGCAGCCCCTTCCTTAACATTTACTGTGACTACGAGCCTGGCTCTGAGTACAACCTGGACTCCATTGCCCGTAAGTGTGGCCTGGAGGGAAAGAGGGATGGGGAAAGGGTGGGGGATGCAGTCCCATCTCTGGTACCTAACTGCCTCCGCTCCCCCTGCAGAGAGCTGCCTAAACCTGGAGCTCCAGTTCACTCCTTTCCAACTATGCCACGCAGAGTAAGTAAATCACAGGCTTGATACAATAGGGAGTGTATGTGTGCACGTGTGTGTGTTTGTGTGTGTTGAGAGGGCAGAGGCTGTAGCATACTGAAGACCACAAACCCACCTATAGGCAATCAGACTTGTTTTGTTTTTTAGAGCATCATGCATTTAAGGTAGCCATTTACCATACTCAGCTGATGGAGTAGGTAGCCATTCTCTTCTCCAGGGGACCTTCCTGACTCAGGGATCGAACCTGCATCTCCTGCATTGCAAGCAAATTCTTTACTGTCTGAGCCACCAGGGAAGCCCCTAAACTAGACAATTTGAGAGTTAATCGAGTGCCTCATTTCCAGACGTGTAGAACTTTCAAGTTTTGATATTCTAGATTAGGGCATTCCAAGATCCAGAAATCCTTTTTTTTTTTTTCTCTTGAGCTCTGAGATTCCAAGATCTGAAAGATCTACAGTTTGATCATTCTGAGATTCTGTAATATTAAGGTCCTAACATTACCATATCTCAAGGAGACAGAATACAGACCATGTAGAGTACTGATGTTCTAGGATCCCAGAGTATAAAATTCCATTCTGGAACACCGGTGTTCTAACACAGGAGTTGCCAAACATTTTCTATATAATCTGTCTCACAGCTACTCAGGTTGGCCACTGTAACAAGAAGGCAGCCATGGACACTGAATATGTGTGGCTGTGTTCCAATAAAACTTTATTTACAAAAACAGGGTATGGACTCCCCTGGTGGTCCCTTGGTTAAGATTCCACTCCCACAGCAGCGTGCATGGGTTGGATCCCTGGTCAGGGAGCTAAGACCTTGCAAGCCATGTGGCATGGCCAAACAAAACAGGCAGTGAGTTAGATTTAGCCGGCAGGTCATAAATGGCCAAACTCAGATCTAACAGATGAAAGTTTGAGAAACTGAAGTTTCTAACCCACTGATATTTTGGGTTCTATGATCTGGATAGTCTACCAATTCTGAGTCTGAATATCATGATGGCAGTTTCCAAAAGTTCTAGTGTCTTGAAAGAGACAGAAAACAGAACTTTTGTAACACTGGGGTTCCAGGGTAAAGAGATGCTAGTGTTCTGAGGTTCTGCAGCCCATTCTCAGAGCTCCATGTTCACTCCTGAACCCACATCCAGAATGAAGATTCTAGCAGGTGAGGGCTCTAGAAACAGAAGGTTCTAACATGCTGAGTTTCTGAGATTGGAAAGCTCTACAGTCCTGTGATTCTTCAAGAGTCAGTTTCTACAGTTCTGCATCTTCACTGTGGATCCAGAGTCTGAAGCCTAGAATGACAGGGTTCTCGCAAGCAAGAGTTTTTGCAAGAGGAGGGTTTTAAAACTGACGAACTCTGCCACACTCAAGGTCCACCATACTGGGGTTCTAGAGTTTTTTGCTTTCAGGGTCCAGGTCGGGGATCAACTGGAGACTGTTTTTCTCCTGAGTGGGAATGACCCAGCCATTCATCTGTACAAGGAGGTGAGACGGAGGAAGGGTGGTGGGCAGAGCCCTGCTGGGGCCACCGTGGACTGGGTCGGATGGTGGGGGGAGCGGTGTGTGAGACCTGCCACTGACTCCAAGCGGGTGGCGGGTCTCGGTTCCCCCAGAACGAGGGACTGCATCAGTTTGAAGAACAGCCTGTGGAAAACCTCTTCCCAGAGCTCACAAACCTGACCAGTAGGTAGGCGCCGACAGGCCAGCAGGGACTGGGGCAGGCGGGCTCCGAGAAATCCCGGTGGTGGGAATTGAGCCCTAGGGAAATCAAGCCCAGAGGAGGCCCAAGGCTCTTCCGGGGGTAGGGGTGGGGTGGATGCTTGTAGGGAGGCGGAGGTGGGGGGTGGGGGCTGGGGCCTGGTGACCGCCCGAGGGCCCCTCTGACCACCTGTCCACCCCCAGCGTCCTGTGGCTTGACGTGCACAACCTGCCCGGCACATCCCGGCGACTCTCAGCTCTGGGCTGTCAGAGCGGTTACGTCCGCGTCGCCCACGTGGACCAGCAGAGTCGAGGTGATGACGGGACGGGGCGGGGCTCGGACATGGTTAGGGGCGGGGCCTTGGGGCGGGGCGGGGACTCAGGGCTGGGGGCGGGGCGGGCGCTCGCGAACTGGAGGCGGGGCTTGGGCGGGGCCCGGGGCGCTCAGGGCTGGAGGGTGGGGCCCAGGGGCCGGGGGCGGGCACTCAGTGCTGAGGGCGGGGCCCTGAGTCCTCGCCCTCCACAGAGGTCCTGCAGACGTGGACCATCCTTCAGGACGGCCCCATTTCCCGAGTGATCGTGTTCAGCCTTTCGGCCCCCGAGGGTGAGCTCCGGGCGTGGGCTCGGTTCCCCCACCCACGTTTGTACCCCTTTCCCTAAACTTTCGCCTCCCACTGTTCCTTCCTTCCTTCCTCCTGGGTGCCCCATTCCAGCCCAGGAGTTAACTGTGCCCCCTCTCTCCCCCCACGCTCCTGAATTTCACTCCCAGCTATTTGCCCCGGTGGCGGTCTAACCTTTAACCTGACCTTTTACCCAGGAGTTGAACCTCCGCCTTCCCCTTGGTGTCTCTAACCTTCACCCCTCACTGTGTGACTTCCCCAACCCCCATCTCAGGCCTCAGGACTTGTCACCCTGTATCTTGCTGCCATTCAGCCCCAAATTCTTCTCACGGACTCAGCCCCAAATTCAGTTATCCCCGGGCTCGTGGTCTCTCCTTTCCCCCCACGTGTTGATCTGTTCCTCTTACTCTGGTCTGTCCTCTCGTGTTTTTCTTTTTCTTTCTTTATTTAGCTGTGCTGGGTCTTAGTTGCGGCATACGGGGTCTTTCCTTGCTATGCACAAACTCTCTAGTTGCGGCGCTCAGACTTAGTTGCTCTGTGGCATGTGGGATCTCAGTTCCCCAACTTGCATCTCCTGCATTGCAAGGCAGATTCTTAACCACAGGGCCACCAGAGAAGTCCTTGGTGTTTCTCTTGGTCTGACCTCTGTGGTCTGTCTTCCATCCCTCCTCCTGTGGTTTACCCCTGATACCCCTACAGTGATCTGAGGACTTTCATATTCTCACCTAACCATGTTCTCATCTAATCTGGTGGTCTAACCTTGAATTTTGTCTTGCACCTCATGGCATGTGGGGATCTTAGTTCTTAGTTCCTCAACCAGGGATCAAACCTGCATCCGCTGCACTGGAAGCACAGTCTTAATTCCTGGGCCACCAGGGAAGTCCCCTAACCTTGGGCTTTTTAAACTGTTGTCCAACACCTGTTCCTCCTCCTGAACCCTGACCTCCATCCTCCTCTCATAGTCTAACCTCTAACCCTCTGCCTGTAACCAACTCATCGTCAAGCCTTTCTGCCAGGAGTCTAACCTGTGTTCGTCTCAGGTATGGAGGGGTGGGAGGAGGGACCTGCGACCTGTCCCCTCACACCTCCCCCACCTCTGTTCCTTCTCCAGAGACGGAGGACAGGCCACAGCGGGAGGAATACAGCGTGCTGGTGGCCAGCATGTTGGAGCCGGCAGTGGTGTACCGGTGAGGGGCACGTGGAGGAGGGCTGGCCCCATGCCTTTGCACCATGGCCTAACCTTCTCATTCTCCGCAGAAAGTAAAGCTTTAGGTGTGGTGGTTCAGGGCTGGATGGGTAAAGGTCCATGTTCCAGGGAGAGAAGCACCGAGTGTTTAAATCTAGAACTTGTAGGAGATGTGCTGAGGCCTCAGGGTGGGAACTGAGATGTCCAGCCCCCCGGGATGTGCATGTGCTAGGTCATTCAGTCTGACTCTTTGCAACCCCCATGGACTATAGCCTGCCAGGCTCCTCTGTCCATGGGATTCTCCAGGCAACAGTATTGGAATGGGTTGCCATGCCCTATTCCAGGGAATCTTCTCACCCCAGGGATCGAAACTACACTGGCAGGTGGGTTCTTTACCTCTGCCACCACCTGGGAAGCTCCCTGGGGTAGGTGGACAGAGCATGTGGGCAGGTGTTTAACCACCAGCTCTGTGTGGGAGAAAGCCCTGGTTTGTAGCGTCTGCCCATTTCAGTACTCTCACCACAGTGGGATTTTGGGTCACTGACACAATGCCAGCATGCTCTCAGTTTCTGAAAATGTCCTAGTCAGCTCCTGTGAGCCAATGCAAGCCCGCTGTGCACACCTGGTGGGCCATGAAGGTGTCCAGCCTGGGGTCCGAGCTCACAGGCTCCAGGGACCACGCGGGTGTCCAGCCTGGAGGCGACAAGGGTCACCAGAAGGAGTGGTGTGGGTTTCCACATGGGAATGAGGTGATCCCACCTCCAGGGGTCCGTGTGAGGGTCCAGATCAGAGACGCCTTGAGTGCCCTGGGCGGACAGGAGGATGGCCGGCTTGGAGACGAGGGTGTCTAGGCCTCAGCAGGAGCAGAGCCTCCAGACCTGACACATAAGGATGTGGCACTCAGGGTGGCGGGCACTGCACTTGATCCCAGTCTTTCCGCTGTGGTCTGACCCCCAGGGACCTGCTGAGCCGGGGGCTTGAAGACCAGCTTCTCCTGCCAGGCAGCGACCAGTTTGACAGTGTTCTCTGTGGCCTGGTCACCGACATCGATCTGGACGGGCGGCCAGAAGTGCTGGTGGCCACCTATGGGCAGGTGGGGCCCAAGGGGCGGGGCTGTCACGGCCCATGCCCACTGCTGCTTGCCTTCCCCCGTGGGACCCAACCTCCCCATGTGATCCCATCCCCCCATGTGACCCTGACCCACCGTGTGACCTCAACCCCTGTGTGACCCTGATCCCCTGTATGACCTCGACTCCCTGTGTGACCCCATCCCCCCTGTGACCCCAACCCCCCATGTGACCTCAACCCCCGTGTGACCCTGATCCCCTGTGTGACCTCGACTCCCTGTGACCCCGACCCCCTGTGACCCCAACCCCCCATGTGACCCTGATCCCCTGTGTGACCCCACCCCCCCATGTGACCTCAACCCCCGTGTGACCCTGATCCCCTGTGTGACCTTGACTCCCTGTGACCCCGACCCCCCTGTGTGACTTTGACCCCTATGTGATCCCATCCCCCGTGTGACCCCAGTCCTCCTGTGTGATCTGTATCACCCCGTGTGACCTTGATCCCCCCATGTGACTTCAATTCCCCTGTGTGACCCTGATCCCCCCCCGTGACCCCGACACCCACCATGTGACCCTGACTGCCCCATGTGATCTGACCCTGTGTGACTCCAGTCCCGCTGTGTGACCCTGATCCCCACGGTGTGACCCTGATCCCCCTCCCCCTGCAGGAGCTGCTCTGTTACAAGTACTGCGGCCGCGGGCGCGGGCTCCCCGGGGACCAGCGTGGTTTCCGCTTGCTGTGGCGGCGGGGCTTCTCCAGCCCCCTGCTGGCCATGGCACACACGGACCTGACTGGGGACGGGCTGCGCGAGCTGGCCGTGGTCTCCCTGAAGGGCGTGCACATCCTGCAGGTAGCCGGGGGCCCTGAGGCGGGACTTCCCACCCGCCTTAGTGAGGGCGTGTCCTCACAGGAGAGGGAGCTCTGGGGCCTGAGCCCACCTTCGGGCAAGGGGGGCATCTTGGCTACAGGCCCCGTCCTGGGTGTGGCTCCTGTTGGTCCAGGACAAGGGGGATGGGGCCTCACAGCGAGGGGCGAAGGGCGCTTGGCTGCGGCATCCATCACCCCCGTCCCCCTGCCTCCCTCAGCCCCCTGCACTTCTGTCCTTCCTTCCGCCACTCTGTCTGACTCTGTCCCTTCCCCAGCCTGGATCCATCCCGTGAGCTATTTGCACCCTCCCACTGCCCTCTGACCTCAGCCCTGCCCCTCCAGCCACCCCCTCTTCCTCATGTGTGACCCTCTTCACTCTGCCCGGGGTCTCACCTCCAGCCAGTCTCCAGCTTTCTGCCGCAGTCTAACCTCTGACCTCTCCACTGTGGTCGTGCCCTTGACCTGCTGTCAAACTGCCAGCCTTCTCCTGTACTTTGACCCCTCAGCCTCCCACATCAGCTTCACTGCCCTTATGGTTTAACATCCAACCCATTCCCGTGGTCCAAGGTCCAGCCTACAACCATCCCTTGCTATTTAACCTCCAACTACCGTAGGTTGTTTCCCCAATGGCTCAGCAGGTAAAGAATCCATCTGCAGCTCAGGAGACACAGGTTTGATTCCTGGACTGGGAAGATCCCCTGGAGGAGGAAATGGCTACCCACTCCAGTATTCTTGCCTGAAAAATCCCATGGACAGAGTAGCCTGGCGGGCTACAGTCCATGGGGTCGCAAAGAGTTGGACACGACTGAGCTACTAAGCACAGTGTAGTCTAACTTCTGACCTTCTCCCTGTGGCCTGACACCCACCCTTCAGCTCCGAGGCATCTCTGTCTCCTAACCTGCTGTTTGCCTTCCCCCTCCCTCTGGTCTGACTCCAGGCTCCTTCCCCGTGTGGTCTCCCTGGAGCTCTTGTCTTCTGGAGTCTAACCTTACTGCCTCCTCTGAAGGTTTTGCTGGGGCCTCTTCCTTCAGCCTAGCCATCAGGGGAATGATCCAGGTTAGACCACATAGAAATAGAGGCTGGACCCCAGGGGAAAGGTGTGAGGTTGAACCACAGTGCATGGGATGAAGGATGGACCTCCAAGTAAACCAGAATGAGGAGGGGTCTGAGGTTGGACCAGAGTGGAAGAGGCTTCCCCTCTGCCTTGCTTGCACACACTGGCATCTCTTGCCTTGCCCTGTTTGAAGCCATTTCACAGCGACCTCCCTACTCTATCCCTTGTCTCAGGATCTAACCTCAGGCCCTCCAGCCCAGGTCTGGCTCCGTCCCTCATATGGTGACATATTCCTCTCTTGTCCACTGTGGTCTGCTCCTTCTCGGTCCTGTGGGCCTAACCTTTTCTGCCAGTGTCTCACCTTTGTCCCCATCTGCTGTGGTCTAACCTCAGCCTCTTCAGTGGTCAGTCTTTGCTCCCGTGTGACTCGAGCTCCCCTTTGTTTTGATTCACCCCCTTCACCACCCCCCCCCAGCCCCGAGTTCTAACCTCAGACCCACTCATCTGGGGCTGGGCTTTGTTCCTGCCACTGGAAATTCATGGAAGGCCGTGCCCCTGAGTCTGACCTTCACCCCATCATGGAGACCCGTTTCCACCCCCCATGTGGTGGTCCTCTCTCCAACCTCCGGTCATGGCCAAGCTTCCAGTTTTGAGGTGGGCGGTGTAACCTGCACCCCTCCAGCTCCATCTCAGCTCTGCCCTCCTCCTTCCTCCTTCTCTCGTTCCCCACAGCACAGCCTGATCCAGGCCTCAGAGCTGGTCCTGACCCGGCTTCGGCGTCAAGTGGAGCAGAGGAGACGTCAGCCACAGAAGCTGGGGGACAGGGTGGGTTCCGGGCCTGTGGAGACCCCAGCTTCCTGAGCACCCACTCGCCGCCCACCCCAGGTCTGCGGTAGTGCCTGGGGGCGCTCGCCTTCATGGTGGGGGAAACATCCTGAAGGAGGGGCTGGTCCCCCCAGACCCACCCCTGGGGTGATGGAGCCGTGGGTCCTGCTCTGGCCCTACCCCCACATGCCCTGTGACCCACACTCCCTTCTCTGCCTCAGTGTTCCCTTCTGAAAATGGGACGATCTCACCCTCCATGAGAATCGGTCAGTGGCAATGATTTCTATATCCAGAGGAACCAAACTCACACTCCCCTCCATCCTTTTGTTCAGCAAGCATTTGACAAGGGCCCGCGATGTGCCAGGCTGAATGTCCGGAGCCGGATTTCCCCGGAAGAACTGAGGGAGGGGACTCGGGACTGCGGATCCAAAGTCAGACCCAGTAGCGGGACTGAAGTGGAATCGCAGTGTAGGTTTCAGAGGAAAGAAAGGAAGTTAGGCCCTATGAGGAAGACTGAAGTTCACCCTCCACAGGAAGACTTCGGGGTTAGACGTTTGCACATGAGCTCAGGTCAGACCCCAGTGAAAAACTCTGAATCTTGGGTGAGGGCTCAGTGGAATGATAAGGAAATTGAGCCTCAGAGGAAAGGATGTGGGTGGAAAGGACTGTCATGGGAGACTTCCCTGGTGGTCCAGTGGCTAAGACGCCATGCTTCCTATGCAGGGGGGGACCCAGGTTCAATCCCTGGTCAGGGAACTAGATCCCACATGCTGTAACTAAAAAGATCTCACATGCTGCAACTAAGATAGCCCAACCAAATGAATAAATAAATATATAAAAAAAAGAAGACTCATGGAGAAGCCACAAATTGTAACAGAGGGCCTGAGGTCAGACCCCCTGGAGTCGGACACCGGTGAAAGTTACTGTGGTTAGACCTCACACCTTCCCCGGTGGCTCAGATGGTAGGAATCTGCCTGCAGTGCAGGAGATACAGATGTGATCCCTGGCTCAGGAAGATGCCCTTGGAGAAGGGAATGGCTGCCCACTCCAGTATTCTTGCCTGGAGAATCCCATAGACAAGCCTGGCAGGTTACGGTCCATGCAGTCACAAAGAGTTGAACAGGACTAACACTTTCACTCCTTTCATACCTTGTACCAGGGGTCAAAGTTAACGCCCTACAGAAAGCGATTGAATTTAGGTTCCTACTGGGGTGTCCTGAGATGAGCCCCAGGAAGACAGGACAGAGGCTGCACTGGGCTGGAAAGGACTCAGGGTAGTCCTAATTGAAAAGCCCGAGAATGGGAGGGGGGCAACTTCCCTGGTGGCTCAGTGGTGAAGAGTCTGCCTGCCAGGGAACATGGGTTTGATCCCTGGTCCAGGAACTAAGATGCCACAACTACAGCCACGTGCCACAACTGTTGAGCTTATTTGCTCTAGAGCCCATGCTCTGCAACAAGAGAGCTTGTGCACTTTGATGAAGACTCAGTGTATCCAAAAATATATAACAAGAGCGGCATTGGTGGTTCAGTGGTAGAATTCTCGCCTCCCAAAAATATATAACAAAGAAAATGCCAGGGGATGGCAGGACCCTGTGCCTGTAGGAATTTTCCCTCCTGTGGCCACTTCCATGGCACCAGAGAAGGAACCCAGGCCTCCATCACAGGGATCAGAGGAGGGTGGGGGTGAGAGGAGAAATATTGCCAGGAATAGAACCCTGTCAGGAGGGTTGGGGACCCATTCCTGAGCAGGGGAGGGGAGAGGGGGGGTCCAGGTTGGTTGGGGGATGGGGGCTGCTTCCTCCCTGGCGGTTTTTTGGGGGGAGACTCCTGCTTCCTAGTGGGGAGGGGCAGGCACTACGGTCATTCTGGCCATCTGTCCACCTCCTGCCGTGGAAGTCCATACGTCAGTCTGACCATCTGCACCGCCAGTGAAGACCAGGCTGGCTGCCCCGCGGTGGCTCTTCGGGAGGCTGGAACCCCCCAATTCTTGGCCACCCCAGACTTCTCCTCACCTCCCAGAGCCCAAGCCCAAGTGCGGGAAATCGCAGGCAGCTGGAGCTGGGTCGTGTCCCTCCTGGCAGCGAGCCCGAGGGTGTTCAGCCAGGACGGGTGGCGGTGGGCATGGGCCACTGGCCAAAGCAGGGTCTGCCTCCTGCTGCCTGTCTGTGAGGAGAAGTCCTCTATCAACTCCTGTCCTGGGTGGGAGTGGACCCTAAGGTGGGGTTGAGGGCTTTTAACTCGTGATGTTGTGGGTTCGTGAAGCCTGTGTATGGATGTGCACGTGTGTGTGTGTGTGTTCTCCATTTCAGGATTTGTGAGTTTGTGTTCCTGGCGCTGCCCAATCCTTTGCAACTCATTTCCTGACTTGCCAGCCCCTGAGTCTGGGACTGCGTGTCGTGTAGCAGTGAAGGGTAGAACCTGAAGGCACCCTTCACCATTTTGTACCTCAGTTTCCCTATCTGTAAAATGGGACGAGTAGCATTTCCTTCACAGGGTCTTCAGGCGGGTCCATTATGTCAACACGTGTCAAGCACTTACTATAAATGTTGTAACAATGTCTGGCACGCGATAAGGGCTGCATTGTTATTATTATTAATGGCTGCCTTTGTGGTTGTTTCTGGCTGGCTCTGTGAGGCTCTGCAGGCCCGGCATGTGAATTTGGATCTTGACTCTGGCTAAAAACATTCTTGCCCTCCCCCTCCAGTTCTGGGAGCCTGGAACTATTTGTAGCTCTTTCGCCTCTTTGGTCCTTGTATGGATCAGAGACTGTGTTGGTGGGGGGGTGGGGGGGTGCATCGTGGTGGATTCTACTGAATGACCCCCAGAGCCCCCCCCCCCAAACACACACACACATATATGCCGTCCTCCGCTGTCCATTACCTGTGGTGCTGAACGCAGAGGGTGGGTGGGAGGCTTGGGCAGCCTCATCCCCCCCACTTCCCCGCCCCTCCCCTCTGCAGGCCCCTCCCCTGCCTCCCGCGCTGGCCTCCCTCTCCCCGCCTCCTCCTCCTCCCCAGTCTCCCCGGCTCCTCCTCCGCCCTCCCTGCGCTCTCCCCAGGCCCCCCTCCTCCCTCTCCAGCCGACTCCCCCTCCCCGTGTCCCTCCCCCCTCCTCCTCGCCTCTCCTCCCTCTATCCCCTCTCCCTCCCCTCCTCCCTACCTCTCCCTCTCAGTCTCCAGCTCTTCTCTCCCTCTCACTCTCTCCCTCTCTCTCTCTCTCTCTCTCCCTCTCTCTCTCTCTCTCTCTCTCTCTGTCGGGCGGAGTCGCCCACCACTGCCAATCCAGTGCTGGGGGAAACCTGCTCTAGGCTGTAGCTGCAGGTAAGAGACCCCCAGTGAGGAGAGGGAGGGCTGGGGGGAAGGATGGTGCTACCCCAGGTGGGTGGAGGGGGGCGTTCGAGGAGCCGCGTTTCCCTGGGCTCCGTTTTGGAGAGTAGGGGGCTTCACATCCTGGGTTGCGGGTACCGGAGCCCGAACGCGGAGTCGGGGGCCACCACCAGCAGTCAACATCCTCAGCCCCTCCTGCGCTTTGGGCAGTGTGGCGGGCTGGGGAGGGGGTGCCTCCTGGACACTGAGGGGGTGCGAACACCCCCTCCCCGTCTGGGGCAGCCCCCCGCCCTCCTGTGTCTGGGTCTCGCCTTTCTGTGCCTCCACACCCCTCCATGGTCTCGGTCCTGCCGAGTCTGCCTGTCTCTCTGAGTCCCCGACTCCCTCCGTCGCACTCTCTGTCCATGCCCGGGGCTAGTCCGGCTTTCTGTTTCAGCCCTGGGTCTCTCCCTGCCTTCCTCTTTCGCCATCTCTGTGTTTCCCTGGGTCTCTTGTCTCTCTAGGGTCTCAGCTTTCCTGGGTCTCTGTCTCTCTCCATCTCCGCGTGGGTCTTCCTGTCTCCCCCCTTCCTCTCTCATCTCCATCTCTGTCTCCAGGGACCTGGTCCCTGTTCCTCTCTCTTTCCTCCCCTCTTCCTCTCCCCGGGTAACTCTGCCTCCTACACACCTTTGTCTCCGCCCCTGGCCAGGGGAGACCTGGAGGAAGAAGATCCCCCACCTCCCCCCCACCGCCGCCTCAGAGTGGGCTCGCCCGGGAGGCACGGAGTCCCCCAAACTCCGCTCCCTTCCTCAGCCGAGCTCCCCCACCCCATCCTCCCAGCTGGCACCCGCCCATCCCTCCCCTGAGCACAGAGCTCCTCTGCTCACCACTGCCTGATTTCTGGCATCCCGAGGCATTCTTGCAGTCTAACCTGTGCCCTCTGTGGTGGAGACCAAACTGGTCCAGTCTTCTGTCTACCCTCCCATTTCTCTTCATATTGACTGGACTGCATGCCTCTTGTTGTCTCACTTCTGTACCTCTTTTGCCGTCTGTCCATTTCGTGACTCATTCATTCTTTGGACAATTACTGAGCCCCTTTCACTGCTCCAGGCAGAGCAGTAAAAGGTCTTGGGTCGGGCCAGGCCAGTCCTTCCTGCAGTCTTGCCTCCATGCCTCTCCTGGTGTGCCGGCCCCAGACCTGTCTTCCAGGGAGAGTGGAGCTCAGAAGCTTCTCCGCTGCCCCTTGGGGGCCCTCGAAAGGGCCCTTCTGAGTCTCGAGGTCCCTGGCTGATAGATACATCCTCTTCTTTTCTGTTGGGAAGGGGACCCCAGAGGAGGTAGGCGAGATGAGAGGTGTGGGGCTGAACCTGTAGCCCACGCTGTGATGGGATGAGGCCCACAAGTGAGTGCCCATGAGGGGCTCTGGGTGGGTTAAATCAAGCACAGGTTAGGAGCCGCAGGCCTCTGTCCTGCCGATGACTTGAAGCTTCGCAACTTGACCAAGCCCTTTGCCCCTCCGGGTGTCAGTTTACCAATGGATGTATTACACAGCCTGAACACCAAGACTGCGTGTGTCTGTGTGGGATCCCCCGGCGGGGACACTGTGCAGGGGCATGGGCGGGGGGAACCTGGCTCGCTCAGGGGCAGGAAGCGGGCATGTTTAGAAGGCTGTGTCCCCACCGAGGGACAGGCAGCGGGCACCCCCTGCCCCTGCCCTGAGCGCAGTTCGGGACCACCACCCACTGCTTACCGACAAGAGGGGGTCCCACCTGGCCTGCCAGCCTGACCTCCCCACCTTGCTCAAGCTTGCAGTCCCCATCCTACAGATGAGGTCTCTGAGGCCCCGAGATGGGGGCCAGGCAAACTGAGGCACTCCCCACTGACCCAGCTGGCCACCGGCCCACGAGGGAGGGGAGAGACGGTCCCAGAGACAGATGATGCCCGCCAGCTGCCCTCCAGAGTCCCACCCTGGCCTCCACCTGATCCTTTTGCCCCTGGATACCCAGCTTAGGTTTCAGGGCAGCTGGGGGAACGAGAGAGGCGGAGGCAGGAGTCTGACGCAGAAGCAGCCCAGCTGTCCTCGGTGACAGGGCTCGGACCTCTTGGTGGTTCATCACACAAACATTTATCCAGTGCTTTCTCTCCCTGACCGCTCCTCTACTAAGGCTGCAGGGAGAGGAAACCAGGTGTTGCAGGAAAAAAACCATGGAACCAGGCTGCTTTGCCCAGCTTCGGGGCAAGGAGGGCAGGTGTCAGAATACCCATTGGCTGACCCTGGTTTTTCCCTGAGGATCAAGGCGGGAGGGACAGGTGGTTGGATGCGAGGCAGAACTTCCCAGGCCGTGGCCCTTCCCTGAGTGAAGGGGTGAGAGGCTATGGATGAATTCTCCCAAGTGGCCCTGGGTTCTCCTGAAAGCTAGGAGGTGATGAGGAGGGAGGGAGAAGAGAGCATGAGTCTTTGCGTTGGATCCTGGTGGGTTTGTAATTATGCCTAAGTTGTTGCTAATTAGGGGCTGCTAATTAGACGTATCATTAGGGGCCTTGCCGAGGGGGTGATTGTGCAGTGGCCCTTTAAGAATCACCCCTCTACCCCGCCTACATGCACACACACACACACACACACACACACACTCACTCCTTCTCAGGGAAGTTCTGCCAACATTCTGCCTCCCTCCCCCGGCTCTCAGTCGTGAGGACACCAGTGTACGTTGGGGGCAGGCTGTGAGCTAGACTCTGAGAAGAACTTTTTCAGACAGAAATGGACGTTATGGGAGACCCAAGGCTGGTGGCCAGGAGAAGGGTCAGGGAGCAGGCAGCCCTGAGGATCCCTCCCTTCCTTTCTGAGTCCTGTTTTATAGGCTATTGGGTTACCGTGGCAACACAAGGGCAGGGCGGGGGAGCTGGAAGTCAGGACCACTCTTGGAGAGAGAAACTGGGAGCCACAGAATGACTGCTGGGTGTCACTGGACAAGTTACTAAGCCTCTCTGAGTCTTGGTCAGCTCATCTGTGAGATGGCTGGGGACTCCCCAAAGTGGGAGGGTGTCATTTCAAACAGAGTGGTCAGGGAAGGTGACATCTTAGTGGAGAGCTGAAGGGGGAGAGGGAGAGGATATGCTGGGAAGTGTGTCCCAGGAAGGAGGAGCAACAGGTGCAAAGGCCCTGAGTCAAGAACTTGTCCGAAGAACAGGGAAGAGGCAGTGTGGCTGAGGCCAAGTGAGGGAGGGGGAGAGGGAGAGAAATGAGGCCAGAAAGAGAACGAGGATATCAGATTGTGCAAGACCTTATGAACCAGGGAAGGGACTTTGGTGTTTGGAGTGAGACAGGAGCCATGGTGGGGAGGGCGGTTCTGATCAGATAGAAGGATGTGAAATGATTTGCATTTCTAAAGGACACCTAGACACACAGACATAGCTACTCAAGCCCAGGACCAGGGGCAGGAAGATAAGCATTGACCCCACACCCACAAATGGGGCAAAAAACCCAACCTGGGGGCCACATTGTCACAGCTTCTAAGGAATCTTCCACCTCCCAGAGGGCCAGGAACACTGGAGAGAGACACGTGCTAGCATTGCGGGGCAGAATGTGAGTGAGAGACCCGCCAGCAGCCCCTCCCCAGCCCTACCTGAGATGGAAAAACAAAGAGCCACCTCTACAGCCCAAATCCCAAGCAGGAGCTCTCCGAGCACCAAATTGGAAAACACAGGACTCACTGAATGAATTGAGGGCACCCCCCAGCACCTTGCCTCACCCACAGACTTATTCACTCTGCATCCTTCTGGGCCTGGCTTCACTCTTCCATGATTTGCCTGTGAGCTTCATCTGCAATGTTGGGTGTATCAGTTGCCCACTCCCTTTTCAGTGCTGTATAATATTCCACTGTGTGACTCTTCTGCCCTGTACTTCTCCATGTTCTTGCCGATAGGCACCCAGCTTGTTTCAAGCTTTATTATCAATGAAGCTGCTATGAACACTTGTGTATGGGTCTTTCATGGAACACTTGACTTATTTCCCTGGGTACATTCCTGGGAGTGGAATTGCTGAGTCCTAGGATACGTGATGTCAACTGTAGTTTCTCATAGAGGCTACATGTCTATCAGCAGCACATGATGTCTTTATCTTTCTGTGTCTTTCTTGATCTCTGCCTAGCACAGAGAGAGTGTCTGTTTGTGTCCCTGTCTCTGAATCTCTGTCTCTCTTTGTCTCTCCTGGTCTCTCTCATCCCTCTGTTAGTCCCCAGCTTCTCCCCCATTCTCTGCCTGCAACAAGCCCTGACTCCTGAGCAAGAGGGAGGAGGGGTTTGCTCCCCTCACCCAGACTTCCTCCTCCTCCCCCACAGGACCCTGTCCCCCTCCATGGCTCCCCTGGCCTTGGTGGGGTTTGCACTCCTGCTGGGGACTCCGCCATGCTCAGGGGCGGCCACCCCGACCCCCTCCTTGCCACCGCCCCCAGCCAATGACAGCGATGCCGGCAGTGCAGGGGGCTGCCAGGGCTCCAACCGCTGCCAGCCAGGGGTCCTGCTGCCCGTCTGGGAGCCCGATGACCCGTCGCTGGGGGACAAAGCAGCCCGGGCTGTGGTCTACTTTGTGGCCATGGTCTACATGTTCCTGGGCGTGTCCATCATCGCCGATCGCTTCATGGCCTCCATCGAGGTCATCACGTCCAAGGAGAAGGAGATCACCATCACCAAGGCCAACGGCGAGACCAGCGTGGGCACCGTCCGCATCTGGAACGAGACAGTGTCCAACCTCACCCTCATGGCCCTCGGCTCCTCGGCCCCAGAGATCCTGCTGTCCGTCATTGAGGTCTGCGGCCACAACTTCCAAGCGGGCGAGCTGGGCCCGGGCACCATCGTGGGCAGCGCTGCCTTCAACATGTTTGTGGTCATTGCCGTGTGCATCTATGTCATCCCAGCTGGCGAGAGCCGCAAGATCAAGCACCTGAGGGTCTTCTTTGTCACCGCCTCTTGGAGCATCTTCGCCTATGTCTGGCTTTATCTCATCCTGGCTGTCTTTTCCCCAGGTGTGGTCCAGGTGAGCAAGGACCCACGGACATTTCCTGAGCATGTGTGTCTGCACAATCCAGAGGGGTGGCCTCCTGGGTTTGCAGAGTCAATGCCTGTAATTGCAGAAATGCATGCTGACATCTGAGAGGGCCACCAGGTACGGTTGTCCAGGTCGTACACTGCACAAAGGCATTGGGCCAGAGAGGGCAAATTGGGGCTAGAGTCTGGGGGTACTCCCCAAGCCAGGTCTGGATGGCATTGCAAACTCTGGAAAGAGCTCATCCATACAGAACTGGATGCCATTTTGTAATATGCCCATCTGGAAATGGCATCTTTGAACTCTCACAAGAGTGCCATGTATGCTAACAGAGTCCTAGTGATCTGTGTAAGGCATACGACAGTCTAGTCAGGTATTTGTCAGGTATGGTCACGTGTTTTCCTATACTCCCTGCCTTTTGCATAATTTATTTCCACTTTTGCAATTAGACATCCCCCATTTGCATAATTCATTTTACAGTTGCAGAATCCAGCCCCGTGTTTTCTGACAGTGCTAATTGATTTGAGTAACTTGGTGCAGTTTGCATAGTTTACCCATGGACTTTGCATCTGCATAATCTAGCTTTGTATTTGCCAGATATGCAGTTGTGGTTTGCATAGTTCATTCATTATTAATAATTGATTTCTGACGTTGAGATAATTTATACCACTTCACTGTAATTCATACCCATATCCAGTCCAACCTAGGCATAAACCCAGCCCACTGCAAAGACAACTTTGCATAATTTATTCCAATAGTGAGAAAAAATTTCAATCCACAGCTGCATAATTTACACCCGCGTTCACATAATCACTTGCCTCTCATTTATCCAGTGTCTTAACGGGCCTATTGCTTAGTCTCCTTTAAAACGTTCGCCTAATTTATTTCCCACAACCCCATGATTGCTGTCTAAATTTGCATAATTTATTCATGGGCCTGGCTTAATTCGCTCACACACATGCATAATTTATTTGAGGCTACCAGGATTCCTTTATACAAGTGTATAATCTACTCAGACATATCTGTCAAGTTTTGCCAGCTATAGTTTCTTTCCAGGAAAGATCTAAAGTTAGAGGTATAAAAATCCTTTGCAGATGTTATCTAGGCAGAAGGAAGGAATGAGAAAGCACAGTGAGGAAAAGAGGGAGGTGGAGCACCAGAAGACAGGGATGAGGGAGGAAGGGAGACAGTTACTGTGACTGACTCCTGACTGTGGTGCTGAGTTTCCTGGCTGCCAAGGTGAAAAGTACAGATGAGGCTTCACACGGTCCTCAGGCACTATTTTAAAAAGGACACTATCCTGACTTGGGTTATCCAAGTGGTCCGTGACAAGAATTTACACCAAAACTGTGAAATGGGTTTTAGACATTGTGGGGAGGAGGTAGGATCAGGAGGGGGGAGGTTTCTCCTGAGAAGGAGTTGGCTCCAACACAGGGAAGACAGTGAAATGCCACAGGTCTGGGTGCAGAAGTGGTTCTGGAGGATCCCTTCTGGAGTAACATGAAGACCATACTTCTGGAATGCTTTCACGAAATAACTGAAAGAATGGGCATGAGATCAAGATGATGCCAGTCCCTCCTAGATGCTGTGAACGGGGGCAGGGAGGAGATGGGTCTGGCTCAGGGTTTTCTCGGGAAGTGCTGTGTGACCTCAGGCAAAGCCCATACCCTCTGGGCCTCAGTTTACACATCTGAACTATAGAAGGAGTTAGACTAGACCATTGTTCTTCTTTTAAATAGTTTTATGTGTTGGCTGCACTGGGTCTTTGTTGCTGCGGGGGCTTTTCTTTAATTGCACAGAAATGGGGGCTACTCTCTAGCTGCAGTGGGTGGACTCCTCAATGCAGTGGCTTCTCTTGTTGCAGAGCACAGGCTCTAGAGCACAGATTCAATAGTTGTGGTGCATGGGCTTAGTTGCTCTGAGGCATGTGGGATCTTCCCGGACCAGGGATCGAACCCATGTCTCCTACACTGGCAGGCAGATTCTTTACCACAGAGCCACCAGGGAAGCCCTTCTTCTTTAAGTGAGGTCCTCTTTTTTCGTTTCTGATTTTAGCAAGGTCCTCTTTTTTAAATTAATTAATTTGACTACAGCACTCTTTAGTTGCAGCATTTGAACTCTTACTTGTGGCATATGGGCTCTAGTTCTCTGAACTGGAATTGAACCCAGGCCCCCCTGCATCGGGAGTGCAGTCTTAGCCCCTGGACCACCAGTGGGTGCCCTCGAAGGCAGATGTGAATCTATTAGAATCACCTTTTGTTTACCTGCAGGGAAGAAAGCAGATCTCAGGTGTTGGAGATCTCGCTTCTGATTAAGAGAGAATCGCCCACAGCATAGACACTGGCCAGTTCAATGAGCTCAAGGCAAGAGTTCATTTTACAGCTTGCGTGGAAAATTCAGTTTCTTTTCACAAACCTGCCGGTGGCTTTGTGTGGTTGTACTATTCCCAAGTCCTGCTTTTTCTCTGAACCAGCAGTAAACATAGCGACAAGGGGCTGTAAGCAATGAGAGCTTAGAGATATTTTCCCTACCAGGCTCATTTTAAAGATACCTCTGGGGCCGTCTGATTTGTAAATGCTCTTTAATCTTTTCTTCCTTATCTCTAATGAGAGAGGTAACATATGCATCTTTACATGGATATTTCAAGGAGAACTCTCAGGTATTAGTGGATGTTTCCTATATGTGCCTTCTGCCAGACCATGGGCAGACTGAGCCCCAGAGTGTAAAGAGCTCAAGATAACAGTAATATAGTGACAGTATTATAACAGTAGTAATAATGCATGTGGGCTCAGTCGTGTCTGACTCTTTGTGACCCTATGCATTGTAGCCGGCCAGGCTCCTCTGTCCATGGGATTCTTCAGGCAAGAATACTGGGGTGGGTTGCCACGGCCTCCTCCAGGGGATCTTCCTGAGCTAGGGATTGAACCCCGGTCTCCTGCATTGGAGGCGGACTCTTTACCACTGAGCCACCTGGGAAGCCCACTAGTAATAACAATCACATCAATTTCACATTTTGTGTACTTTCCATGTGTCAGTAACCTACAAGCTGAGTGCTAGGGGTGCATGAGCTCATTCAGTCTTGGGATGTCCTCATTTTACACACAAGAGGCTGGGCCAGGCATCCCTCTTCTAGAACTGGGATCAAAACTCAGCTTTGCCCTGTCTCTCTGGGGAGATAGCATGTAAACATGGAAACTTGCTTTATGAGGCTGTCAGACGGTGAGCCAAACTTGTGCCTCTTTTAGAGTCAGAGTCCAATCCCTAAAGGCCAAACAAATTCTAAGGAAGGAGAATCTGGCAAAGGCTGTATTCACTGGTGGGGGGGGGGTAGTTGGGGGAAAGGAATAAGGAAGTTTGGGGACCTAATCAGAGAGCAGACCCTGGGTGATGGGTGGAGTTTGGAAAAGTGGAGGCATCTCGGGTGAGGAGGGGCAGAGGGAAAATGAGGTGGGAGAAAAAAGACAGAGAGAGAGAGACCAGAACTGCCCCGGAGAGGGGCTGGGACCACAAGGTGGGGCGTGTCCCTGACTTGGTGGTGGCTGCGGATGTCTGTGGTTTTTGCACTTGAGCAGCTGGCTGTGGTTCTTAGCGTGACAAATGGTGGATGGATGGACGGATGCAACCAAGGGAGAGACAAAAATGGTGAGGGAAGGAGAGACATAAAAACATAAAGAGAGAAGGCAGGGGACACTGAGAAGAATCTCATAGGAGAGAGAGGTAGATATCTCAAAAAGATATAAAAGACAATGGAGACGAGACAGGGGGACACCAGAGACACCAGAAAGGAAGAAACAGAGGAGGAAAGACAGAAAACCAACTGACATAAGGACTTCTCTGGCGGTCCAGTGGCTAAGACGCCCAGCTCCGCAGTGCAGGCGGCCTGGGTTTGATCCCTGGTCAGGGAACTAGATCCCGCATGCTGCAACTAGGACCCGGTGCAGCCAAATAAATAAATATTAGTTATAAACAAATAAATACCTCTACAGCTTAAACAAACAAACAACAAGCCAGCTGACATAGAGAATCAGACTGGAAGCAGGGAGAAATGGAGATAAGGACCAACTTAGCCAGAAAGATGGGGGAAGGCAGGGAGATGCAGAGACGAGAGCCAGGGAGAGGGAGACACAGAGGGGAGAGACACAGCTGGAAGGAGAGACAGAGACACAGAGAAACGGGGAGAGGCAGAGATGAAGAGAGACAGGAGCGAGACAGAGAGAGGAGGCAGAGACAGCAAGAGGGCCAGACGGGGAGAGATTCAGAAGGAGCTCTGGGGAGGGCAGGGACCCGGCGCTGGGGAGGGCGGCGGCGGGCGGGCCGCGAGCGCGCCCCCTGCCGGAGCGGCGGTCCTGACCCGCGCGGCCGCCCGCAGGTGTGGGAGGCGCTGCTGACCCTCGTCTTCTTCCCGGTGTGCGTGGTGTTCGCCTGGATGGCCGACAAGCGGCTGCTCTTCTACAAGTACGTGTACAAGCGCTACCGCACCGACCCGCGCAGTGGCATCATCATCGGCGCCGAGGGCGACCCCCCCAAGAGCATCGAGCTGGACGGCACGTTCGTGGGCGCCGAGGTGCCGGGCGAGGTGGGCGGCCTGGGCCCGGGCCCCGCCGAGGCCCGCGAGCTGGACGCCAGCCGCCGCGAGGTCATCCAGATCCTCAAGGACTTGAAACAGAAGCACCCGGACAAGGAGCTGGAGCAGCTGGTGGGCATCGCCAACTACTACGCGCTGCTCCACCAGCAGAAGAGCCGCGCCTTCTACCGCATCCAGGCCACGCGGCTGATGACCGGCGCGGGCAACGTGCTGCGGCGGCACGCGGTGGACGCCTCGCGCAGGGCCACCGCGGCCGACGGCCCCGGCGAGGACGAGGACGACGGCGCCAGCCGCATCTTCTTCGAGCCCAGCCTGTACCACTGCCTGGAGAACTGCGGCTCCGTGCTGCTGTCGGTCACCTGCCAGGGCGGCGAGGGCAATAGCACCTTCTACGTGGACTACCGCACGGAGGACGGCTCCGCCAAGGCCGGCTCGGACTACGAGTACAGGTGGGTCCCCTGGGGGCGGGTGGTCAGGGAGGGCTGGCTGTCTGCGGGTCACAGTCTCCGCTGTCCAGTGGCCTCCAGGCCCCTTGGTCTCCTGGCTGCATCTGGCGCCCGTCCTTACTTTGCGATGGGCAGACTTGCTGGATTCATTCATTCATTCCTGGGAGTCTACTTTGTACCAGGTACTATTCTAGATATTTGGCACAGGCTGCTGGACAAGATGGACAGCGTGGCCGTCCGCTGACCACGGGCTGCTGCTCCCAGGTCCATGATACACCTGTGCCTTCTTGGGCTTGAGGCTGCTCTGTGTTCCTTATTATAGCTCCATGATGTGTTTCATCACCTGGTAGAACCAGTGACCCACCCACCACGCCACTATTAAAGTGAAAAAACAAAAAGATTTTTTTTAATTTTTTTTTTTTTTTTTTTGGTTGCTCTTGGTCTTTGTTGCTTTTGCAGGCACTTTCTCTAGTTGCGGCTCACAGGAGCTACTCTTGGTTGCGGTGCGTGGGCTTCTCATTGCGGTGGCTTCTCTTCTTGTGGAGCACGGGCTCTAGGCACTCAGACTTCAATAGTTGCAGCTCAAAGGCTCAGTAGTTGTGGCACGCAGGCTTGGTTGCTCCGGGGCGTGTGGCGTCTTCCTGAGCCAGGGACGAAACGTGTCCTCGGCCTTGGCAGGCGCATTCTTACCCACTGCACCACCAGGGAAGTCCTAGAAATGTTTATTGATCACCTACTGCATGTGCCAGGGATATACCTCAGTGAACAAGACGGCTAAGGTCCCTACCCTCAAGCTGCAATAAGGTTACAAACTATGAAACATACAAAAACATCAGGTGAAGGCAAGTGCTATGGGGGAAACGAAGTGGGATAAAGAGGAGAGAGATGGTGTCCACATTGTCTCTGGGCCTTTGGTTCCACCGTAAAGCCACCCACCTTCTGAACACTCCTGTCTCTCACTGCCAGTCCCTCTCCTCACCCCTCTTTGAGCAGAACTGTGACCTTATCCAGCAATTCCTACTGTGCACCTACTAGGTGCCAGAGGCTTTTTAAAATTTTTTTGTTGAAATGTTGATTTACAATGTTGTGTTCACTTCTGCTGTATAGCAAAGTGATTCAGTTATCCATATATATATTCTTTTTCATACACTTTTCCATTACAGTTATCATAGGACATTGGATATAGTTCCCTATGCTATACAGTAGGACCTTGTTGTTTATCCATCTGACATCCAGATTTTTTTTAAGGGCTCAACAAAGAAGAGTAAATAAGGTAGATAACTTCTGTGTCCTCGTGGGACCACAAAATTGTTTATGTACTTGTGCAGTAGATCTGTCTGTACCACACTCTTTCAAGAATTATAGGTTTACAGTGTGTTTTGTTAACTGATGTGCAAGTCTGTCATTACGTTCAGTTCAGTTCAGTCGCTCAATCACGTCCAACTCTTTGTGACACCATGGACTGTAGCCAGGCCTCCCTGTTTATCACCAACCCCCATAGTTTACTCAAACTCATGTCCATTGAGTCAGTGATGCCATCCAACCATTTCACCCTCTGTCATCCCCTTCTCCTCCTGCCTTCAATCTTTCCCAGCATCAGGGTCTTTTCAAATGAGTCAGTTCTTCACATCAGGTGGCCAAAGTATTGGAGTTTCAGCTTCAGCATCAGTTCTTCCAACGAATATTCAAGACTGATTTCCTTTAGGGTGGATTGGTTGGATCTCCTTGCAATCTAGGAGATTCTCAAGAGTCTTCTCCAACACCACAGTTCAAAAGCATCAACTCTTTGGCGCTCAGCTTTCTTTATAGTCCAACTCTCACATCCATACATGACTCCTGGAAAAACAATAGCTCTGACTAGATAGACCTTTGTTGGCAAAGTAATGTCTCTGCTTTTTAATATGCTGTCTAGGTTGGTCATAACTTTTCTTCCAAGGAGCAAGCATCTTTTAATTTCATGGCTGCAGTCACCATCTGCAGTGATTTTGGAGCCCCCCAAAATAAAGTTTCTCACTGTTTCCATTGTTTCCCCATCTATTTGCCATAAAGTGATGGGACCAGATGCCATGATCTTAGTTTTCTGAATGTTGAGTTTTAAGCCAACTTTTTCACTCTCCTCTTTCACTTTCATCAAGAGGCTCTTTAGTTCTTTGCTTTCTGCCATAAGGGTGGTGTCATCTGCATATCTGAGGTTATTGATATTTCTCCCAGCAATCTTGATTCCAGCTTGTGCTTCATCCAGCCCAGCTTCCATGGTTTCCTGTAATAATAACATGTACCATGTGTCTTTTCTGTGCCAGAAACGAATCTGGGCAATGGAGACCAGCAGTAAATGAAAGACGTAGAAATCCCTGCCTGCTCTAATGCAGCTGACAGTCTCTTGGGAAAGACAGGCCATTAGAAAGTGTACATTCAATGTATTAAAATATCAGGGGGTGGTGAGAAGAGTGAAGAAAAAAATACAGCAAGATGCAGGAGAGAGCGTTGATGGCTGAGCTTCTCATAGGTTCCACTTACTAAGTTGAAACTGTTCACACAACTTTGTTCTGTCATCCCATAGCATGGGACCCGTTTGGCCACCCATGACCTCCTCCCTCCATCCTTCCCCCTCATCCCACATCTCCAGCCTCCTTCAACTGAAGAAAAGGCATTCACCATGTGAGGGCCTGCTGTCAGCCAGCCTCTTCATCCTTCCACTCCTACCCACACCTCTGGTCCACATTGCCCTCATCAAAACCCCAAGCCTTTGCAAAAGGAAGTGAGTACAGGTATCACTTGCTGGGATCAGAGGCTGCTTTCTCACCTGCAAATGACCTCGGGGAGGAGATGTTTGAAATGAAGGAGTAAATGCTGCTCAGTGGTGAAGCCAGAGCTAGGAAGAGTTGACAACTTCCCATACGTCTCTGCTCTCCCAACCCAGTTGATATTCACAGGCCTGGCATCACTTATCAAGGCAGCTTAGGTTTAGGACTGGGAGGGAGGGCACCTAAGTTCCAGCCCAAGCTTAGCCCTGCCCTCTGTTCCTTGGGTAAGTTCCTGCCTCAGTCTGGGCAAGTAGGGCTGTCATGTACAGTTGTTGAGGCTGTGCACTGCAAAAGAGCAACATGTCTAAGGAAGTGCTGTTCACACAGTGGACATTGTAGATTTCTGTGTCTATGATGACAGTTCCAGATTCATGGAGAGTGTCTTGAATGAGGGATACCTTTTTCTGACTTGCCTGCAGGCATCACTAAGCTAGGGTGGTCCTGTGGGGTTTTAGTTTCTCCAAATTAGTAATGACCTCTGTGACCCCCAAATGGCACAGCTCTTCCAAGATTCTGAGATTTAAGCCTCTATAATCCTAACACGCTAAGGGTTGAAGGTTTTAAGATTCCAGGATTCCCAGGTTTTAGTATTCTAATCTGTACCCCAGCCCATCTCTGATCTGATGGTCCTAAGATTTTCATCTTCTCAGATTTTGTGCATCCAGTGTTGGAATATGAGTCCTGGGAACCTAGCCTTCTATGATTCTGATACCCGGTTTCTAAAATCCCCATGTTCTTTTTCTCCCCAGCTTTTTACTTTGAAAATTTTCACACCTACAGAAGGGCTGCAAATAGATAGTCTGGTGAACCTTCATATAACCTCCACACAGATATTTGCCAATTGTGCCTATTTTGTCCTGTGGGCATTCACGCTCTTCAATATATAATAATAGATTTTTTGAGGTGCTACTTTACTTTTAAAATTTTTAGTTTAGATATGAGTATAGTTGATTTACAGTGTTGTGTTGGTTGTGGCTGTGCAGCAAAGTGACTCAATTATACATTTGCGTATATCCATTCTCTTTCAGATTCTTTTCCCATGTAAGTGATTACAGAATATTGAGTTCCCTGGGCTATACAGTAGGTCCTTGTTGATTATCTCTTTTATATATAGTAGTGTGTCTACATTGATCCCAAACTCCTAATTTATCCCTCCACCCTCCCCCACCTCTCCCCTTTGTTAACCATAAATTTGTTCTTGAAAAAAATATAATAATAATGGTGGCACTTTATTAGAGTGAGGTGCAGACAGCATGACCATTCACCCATCAACAGAAGCATGCATCTGCTAAGAATAATGACATACTTCCACATTATCCCAACACACTGATCACACTCAGGACGTTTAAGATTGAATCAATATTATGACCCAATCTACAGTCCATGCTTGCATGTCCCCGGGCATGCTTGTCTCACCCTTTATAGCTGTGTTTTCACTCCCTCCCCCTCTTCCCATCTGATCCAGAAACCACCTGGCATATTTGGTTGTCATGTCTCTTTCGCCTTCTTCAATCTGGATCACTCCCTCGGTCTTTCCGTGACTTCGGTGACGCCAACACTTTGGTCTGCATTTTTCTTTTGGCTGCGCCATGTGGCATGTGGGATCTTAGTTCCCCAACCAGGGACCGAACCCACGCCGCCAGCATTGGAAGCATTGAGTCTTAACTACTGGACCACCAGGGAAGTCCCACTCCAATACTTTAGAAAATGATAGGCCACTTACTAGAACAATCTTCAATGTGGCTTTGTCTAATATTTCCTCATGATTCGATTCAGGTGATGCACTTTGGCAGGAGTCCAAATGTCCTCAGGGCATCATGCCAGAAGGCACATTATGCCCATGTGTCCTATTACGGACAATGTCCAGTTCCCCTGTATTAACTCAATCCTTATAACACTACCACGAGGAAGACAGGGTTATTAACTCCATTTTACAGATGAGGAAACCGAGGCTCCGAGTGCTGCTGAGTCCTAACTGCCCGAGATCACACGGAAGGCACAGGCAGCTTGGAGCAGGTTGGCCTGCCTTAGCCACCATGGACAGCGCCCTCTGAGCTGAGGGCTGCAGCCACGGGAGGCTCTTATTCCCTCCATCCAGGTCTTGTCATACAGTTCTACCCCTGCCAGAACCCTGGGGTCTCTCTCTCTCTCCCACAGAGGAAGGGAGGGGTAAATGACAGATTGTTGACATTCATTAACACGCCAGAGTCATCACTGTCCCGCCCAAGTTTTCCCCTGATGAACGTCTTGGCCTCATCCCCTCCCCCAGCCCATTATAGAGCCTCTTGCTTGTGCTTTAGAGACTTACACAGCGGGCACTCTTAAACCTAAGCCAGCTGATGTCCTTCCTCCCCTCAGAGGCCTCTATGGCTCTCCTCTAACTGCAGTAAAAGGCAAAGTCTTCACCGTGGCTCACCAAGGCCCCATGACATCTTCTCCTGTTCCCTCGGTCACCCCATCTCCCACCCTCTCCCTCCCTGCTCCCTTGGATGCGGCCACATTGGCGTCCCTGATCTTCCTCAAGCACTCCTGCCCACTTCTGCCTCAGGACATTTGCACTGGCTGTTCCCGATACAGGAACAGTCTTCCCCAAATCTCCTCCACATGGCTCCCTCCCTCAGGTCTCTGCTCAGATGGCACCCCCACCCCCAGACAAGCTTTCCCTGACCACTTTCACACAGCTCTTTCTCCGCACTCTCTACCCTTGTTCCTTTATTTTCTCCACACAGCATCATCACTACCTGACTTTATATGTTTTATAACTCGTCTCCTGCCCTGGAACAGAAGCTCTACCAGGGCAAAAATTCTTCTCTGATCTGGTTTTGCTGCTGTTTCCCCAACACTAAGAACAGTGCCTGGCACACAGCAGATGCTCAATACCTATATCTTGAGTGAATGGACTGTAATTAAATCCAGAGATGTGTAAGTGCCACTGTGATATGGCTCTGCCATGGGGCTGTTCCCCGTGTTCCCAGCACTGCTGTTCCCATGTTCCCACACTGAAAGCATGTGTTTAATGACTGAATGATGCCAAGTTAAAGACTGTGGATTTTCTCCTGGGTATATCTAGGAGCACAGAATGATTTTTATGGGAAGTATGACAATGTCAATTGTGGGCCCTATGTCCCTGTTACTCCAAGTATGGTCCATGTTGCAGAATCATTTGGGTCCTTTGGGCGCTAAGTAGAAATGGAGAGCCTTGATATCCAGGAGCTACTAAACCACAATCTGCATTTTAACAAGATGTCCCAGGGAATTCCTGTGGACACAGGTTCAAGAAGCATGGCTGTGAAACACTCCAAACTCCCTCTCCACCCTAAGACTTTGCATGTACTGTTTCCTTTGCCAGGAAGTCTCCTGCCCACTAAATCTTCTCCCATGAAGCCTGCCTTGATCTCACCTTCATCACCTGTTTAATGTCTCTCCCAGCCACTACTCCTGATGAGTTCCATGGTGGGAGGGAACCCCTCCATGGTTCTTGTTCTCCCCTCTGCATCTCCTGCTCGGGAAAAGCCCACCTTCATTCACCCTCGGTATTGTTTGTTTCACGTCTGTCCACCATTATACTTGTAAGTTCTTCCGGTGGTGCGGCCCCCTCCTCCAGGAAGCCCACCCTGACCGCCCCCCACCCCGGCCCACAGCCCTGAGAGCGACTTCACCCTTCTCTCTCCCCCACCTCCACCACAGCGAGGGCACGCTGGTGTTCAAGCCGGGCGAGACGCAGAAGGAGCTGCGCATCGGTATCATCGACGACGACATCTTCGAGGAGGATGAGCACTTCTTCGTGCGGCTGCTGAATCTGCGCGTGGGCGACGCGCAGGGCATGTTCGAGCCCGACGGCGGCGGGCGGCCCAAGGGACGGCTGGTGTCGCCGCTGCTGGCCACCGTCACCATCCTGGACGACGACCACGCGGGCATCTTCTCCTTCCAGGACCGCCTGCTGCACGTGAGCGAGTGCATGGGCACCGTGGACGTGCGCGTCGTGCGCAGCTCGGGCGCGCGCGGCACCGTGCGCCTCCCCTACCGCACGGTGGACGGCACGGCGCGCGGCGGCGGCGTGCACTACGAGGACGCGTGCGGCGAGCTCGAGTTCGGCGACGACGAGACCATGTGAGCGCGCGAGCCCGCCGGCCCCGGGCCAGGGAGAAGACGAGGGGCCGCGAGAGGGGCGGGGCCAGGGCGGGACGTGGTCCGAGAGGGGGCGGGGCCTGAAAGTGGGCGCGGTCGAGGGTGGGCGTTGGCCGAACGGGGGCGAGGCCTCCGAGTGGGAGCATCTCGGGGAGGCGTAGTTTTGGAAAGGGCTTTCCTGGTGGCTCAGATGGTAAAGAATCTGCCCGCAATGCGGGAGACCAGGGTTCAATCCCTGAGTCGGGAAGATACCCTGGAGAAGGGAATGGCAACCCACTCCAGTATTCTGCCTGGAGAATCCCATGGACAGAGGACCCTGGTGGGCTGGAGTCCATGGGGTCGCAGAGTCAGACACGACTGAGCGGCTAACACACTGTCTTGGAAAGGGGTGGAGCTTTGATGGAGCCCTGGAAACAGGGAGGCCTGGGGAGGTGGTACAAGGTCCAGAAAAGGGGCGGGACGAAGGAGAGGAGGGAGGAGACTGGAGCGAGGCGTGTGGTCAAGATGTTGGGGTGAGACGTGGGCGGGTCCTGCGCGAACTGGGCTGGTTTGGGGAGAAGAGAGTGGGACACCGGGAAGAATGGCCAAGTGAGAAGAGAGGAGAGGAAACAGGGTGGGGCCTGGGGAGAGGGATGTGGCGAGCTTAGCTGGTAGGGTGGAGGAGTGTGCCCTGAGGTCCCTTTCGATGTGGGAAGGCGTCTGTGGAAACGGAGGGCGAGGCTGTGGAACAGAGAGGGGGCAGGGCCCAAGGACCTAGGTGGGGTCTGAGTGGTTGTTGTTAAGTCGCGCTCAGCTGTGTCCGACTCTGCGACCCCATGGACTGCAACTTGCCGGGCTCCCCTGTCCTTCACCATCTCCTGGAGTTTGCTCAAACTCATGTCCGTTGAGTCAGTGATGCCATCCAACCATCTCACCCTGTCACCCTCTTCTCCTCCTGCCCTCAATCTTTCCCAGCATCAGGATCTTTTCCAGGTTCTTCGCATCAGGTGGCCAGAGTATTGGAGTTTCAGCTTCAGCATCAGTCCTTCCAGTGAATATTCAGGACTGATTTCCTTTAGGATTGACTGGTTTGATCTCCTTGAAGTCCAGGAGATTCTCAAGACTTTTCTCCAACATCACAGTTGAAAAGCATCAGTTCTTCAGCGCTCAGCCTTCTTTATGCTCCAAATCTCACATCCGTACATGACTATTGGAAAAACCATAGCTTTGACTATACAGACATTTGTCGGCCAAAGTAATGTCTCTGGTTTTTAATATGCTGTCTAGCTTTGTCATAGCTTTTCTTCCAAGGAGCAAGCGTCTTTTAATTTCACGGCTAGGACGCAAGGCAAAGGCTAAGGACAGCGGAAGAGGGCGGGGTCTAAGGAGATCGGGCGTGCCCTAAAGGAGGTGGGCAGGTGGAAGGAGTGGAGTTCTTGGGTAGGGGGAATGTGGGCGAGGCTTTGGGGAAAGTCGGAGTAGGAATACGGGGGCCTAGGAACAGACGCGGGAAAAGAGGGCTGGGATGTGGGAGACCGAGTCTCCGGAGAGAAGCTGGCTACGTACGTATGTCGACAGACACAACCAACAGGCGCACCGGGCACATACAGACACGCAAAGTCACGGACACAGAGTCAGGACTGTTCTCACGCCCAGACACCCGGCCACCCCCTTGCGCAGATGCCCGAGTCCCCCGGTGAGTGTGCCGGCAGCCTCACATCCCGGCTCCCGCCCGGTCCCGCCCGCCCCCGCACGCCCGTCTGTCTCCCTCTTCCCGCCGCCCACGCTCCCCGCGCCGAGCAGAGCCCCCACGGCGCCCCCTCCCGCTCCCCCTCCCAGCCTCTGGGGCTCTCCAGCTCGGCTGCTCATTGTTCACCCTGCCTCTCCGCCTCTCCCGGAGGCGTCTGCGTCTCTCGGGAGGGTTTGTGTCCATCTCTAGATCTGTGTCCCCAGGATCCAGCTCTGACTCGGGTTATATTTCAGTCACAGACTCCCCGTACCTTTCCGTCTCTCTCTGTTCTGACTTGGGTTGAGGGCCCAGCGCACCCTTCCAGGCCCCATCTCTCACACCCAAGAGGCAGAGGGCGTGGAGGGAGTTGTCTTTCTGCTTGTCCCAGTCCTCCTTGGAGTCTAAGGCTTCCAATCAACTTTCCGCCTGCGGCCGCCGGCTTCCACAGGCCGTCTCCTCCCCCCACTTAGCCCTCTACGACTTCCCCAGGCTGGGACACCCTCTGCCCTCCGCCTCTGCCCTCCGCCCCCGCCCAGGCTTCCAGCTGTGGTTTCAGAAGACAGAGAGCAGGAGGCTAATTAGCGTTTAGGGAAACACATCCTTTCTCTGATGGGCAGGTGCTAATTAGAGATGCTTCGAGAAACAGCCAGGCTGGAGGGCTGACCCCAGGCAGGATCAACACGGAGAAGTAAGAGAGACTCCCAGAGATGAGGTAGCGGGGAGAGATGCAAGAGAGAGACAGAGAGGCAACCAGATGGTGAAAGACAGGGAGACAGACGAGACCTGGTGAAAGAGAGACAGAGCCCGAGTAGTGGAGAGTCAGAGAGAGAAACGAGAGCGGGCAGGAGCGAGACAGAAAGGCACAGACTTAGACGCCACGAGATGGAATCTGAGCGACAGGGGCCCAGCAAGAGAAGGGGAAAGAGGGACTTCCCTGGTGGCTAGGACTCTGCGCTCCCAATGCAGGGGCCACAGGTTCGATCCCTGGTGGGGGAACTAAGATCCCTCGTGCCACCTGGTGAACGCCCCCCCCCCCCAATAAAAGAGAGGGAAATAGAGACTGGAGACTGAGATGGAGGAAGATTAAAAGGAATAGAGGTGCGGGGAGGTAAAGAGAGACATTCTTCTCTCTGAGAGGAACCCAGGGGGACTCGGGGAAGGAAAAGTCCTGCTGATGCTACAGAGAGAGAAGAGTTCGGGTCAGCACGAGAGAATGGGAGATGGGATGAGAAAGAGATTGGGTGTGAAATCAGAGCCTGTGAGGGGTGGGAAAGTGGAGTTTCCAGGAAACAAGGAGGGCATGAGGATGACAGAATGTCAGGCTGTTTCCTTTTTAAAAAATGATCAATTTTAACTGAACTATAATTGATTTACAATATTGTAATCGTTTTAGATGTACAGCTAAGTGGTTCAGCCATATGTGTATGTATGTATATATATATTCTTTTTCAGATTCTTTTCCATTATAGGTTATTACAAGATATTGAATATAGTTCCCTGTGCCATACAGTAAATCCTTGCTGCTTATCTATTTTCTATATAATGGTGTATATCGGTTAATTCCATACACCTAGAGCTGCTTCCTTTGACCTCAGGAAGTCCTGCCCTCAGCTAGCTCCAGTCCCTCTTGCTGCCCCCTGCCGGTTGGGTTTCTCCTCCTTTTGGGTCCCGTGAGGGCACACTTGTCAGGGTGCCAGTCGGTGCCCGTTGTCACTGGGCATCAGTGGACCGCAGCATGTCTGCAAGTGAGTGAGTGTCGGAAGTGTGTGTACGTGTGTGTATCACCTTGTCAGCGTGTCAGCGTGTTGGCAGCTGTCTACGTGTGTCAGAGTCTGTGAGGAGCATGTCAGGAGACGCCCCCTCCTGGCTGCGGTGTTTCAGCACCACGGACAGCTCCCAGCACACTCCTAAGGTTGGACGGGGTGGGGGTGGGGGCTGCCGTTCTTTCAACCGATAGAGTTTTAAATGTCTTGAAACCGAGAATGGGTGAAGGTGGAAGTCCGCGTTTGTCCCCTCGTGACTGTCTTCTGTGTCCATCTTTGGGTGTCCTGGGCGTTCATGTGTTGAGATATGTCTGTATGGTTGAGACCCTTTTGCTTAGATTGTTTTGAGTTTGGCTGTTCCATTCTGTTCCACTCAGTCTCTCCAACACTGAGAGATGGAGATGGGGAGAGGAGAAACACAGAGAGAAAGGCAGAGAGCCGGGGAGAGACTGAATAAACAGAGACACCAGGAGGCATAAAGAGTGAGGTATAAGGAAGGAAACTCTACATGGAATCACAGCAGGGGTCTTACAGGTTGGCATTGTTGCCCAGGCTGTGGTGGGGGTGTTGTGCTAATTGGCATCTGGTTCCGTGCGACTTTGCCACTGCATAGGGAATGGCTGCAGGGTATGATGGTGTGTGGGTGTGGGCGGTGTGATTGGCTGTGCTTCCTCTGCTGGGTGACTGTGTGGGCTGGGTGTTTGTGTTTCTGGGTTCTGGGGCCAGGCCTTGTGGTTTCTACAGCTGAGATAGCTGCTAGTCGCAGAGCTGTGGGTTTTTGTGGGGTTGTGGGTCTTCATAATCAAGGGGGGGCCTGTTGTGTACCTGAAGGGGATGGATAACTTCTGGCGGCTGTTTCTCCCCTCCTATTCCCTGGTTACCATGGCAGCCGGGATGCTGAGAAAATCAGTTAGCACTCAGTTACCCCTCCAAATGAGGACAAGGGGCAGGAAGTTGGGGGTCTTGCAGGCTGAAGAATTTGAGTTAACAGCTGTCTGTGGAGGGCACACTATATGCCCAGCACTGTTCTGGGCATTGGGGATACAGCAAAGAACAAATGAACAAAGATTGCTGCCTTGGAGGAACTTACATCTTAATGTGAAGAGACAAATGGCAAACAACCAACAAGATAAACCTGTTGGGTTGTGTGTTAGAAGATGATTTGAAACAACAAAGACGTGGAGCATGGGAAGGAGACCAAGGGCGCTGGGGTAGGGGAAGGCATGAATTTCACTATTAAAGGAGGTGGAGGGAGTGGGTCTCATTGAGAAAGAAGGTAAAGTTTGAACAGAGAACTGGAGGAATTGAGGGAATGAGTATAGGGGAACAGTGTTCTTAGTGGAAGGAACAAACAGTGCAAAGACCCTGAGGCACAAGCAGGCTTGTTATTTTGTTCTAGGAACAGTGAGGAGGCCAATGTTGCTGGGGTGAGTGTGTAAGCATAGAGGGATGGGAAGCTAGAAGGGGGATGAGGGCCAGATTGCAAGGGGCCTTGTGAGCCATTCTCAGGACTTTGGCTTTTATTCTCCATGAGATGGAAGCCATGTGAATGGTTTTTGCTTGGTTTGTTTGTTTGTTTTTTGGGGGGTTGTTGTTTGTTTGTTTTTTGGTGATGCTGCGTCTTTGTTGTTGCACACAGGCTTAGTTCCCCGTGGCCTGTGGAATCCTCCCAGGCCAGGGATCGAACCCGCATTCCCTGCATTGGCAGGTGGACTCTTAACCATTGGACCACCAGGGAAGTTCGTGTGAATGATTTGAGCAGAGGAAGCACCCAGTCTAACTTTGGTTTTATCAGGATCCCTCAGGTTGATACTTATTTTGAGTGTTTTTAATTTCTCCTTTTTGTTTTGGCCACACCACACCACATGTGGGATCTTAGTTCCCAACCAGGGATCGAACCTGTGCCCCCTGCATTGAAAGTGCAGAATCTTAACCACTAGACCACGAGAGAGGTCCTCAGGTCAATATTTAATACAAACTCGGCAAAGATCCAACTCACTGGAAAAGACCCTGTTGCTGGAAAGATTGAGGACAGGAGAAGGGGGCGACAGAGGGTGAGATGGTTGGATGGCATCATCGACTCAATGGACATGAGTTTGAGCAAATTCCGGGAGATAGTGAAGGACAGGGAAGCTGGGCGTGCTGCAGTCTGTGGGTCACAGAGTCGGACCTGACTGAGCAACTGAACAATAATAGCAGCTTCTTCAGATGTTTCTGAGCTTGTCTCTGTCAAATGGGGATAAGAAGAATCTTTCCCCCAGGGTGATTGTGAGGATGAAATGAGATTACAGAGTCTGAGATGGAGCGAGTGCCGATTGGCTAATGGGAGAGTTATTGGTGAGTCATGGGGAGGGGGCCTTATGCTGGGGATTCTGCCTCTCCCTTCAGGAAAACTCTTCAGGTGAAGATAGTCGATGACGAGGAATATGAGAAAAAGGATAATTTCTTCATTGAGCTGGGCCAGCCACAATGGCTTAAACGAGGGATTTCAGGTGAGGGGTGATGGGTGGGCTGTGGGAGAGGTAAGGGGTCCAGGGTGGGGGGACCTTTGGAGGTTCAGTTGTGGACCCTTCAAGTTCATGGATCTGAGCTTCCCAGAGAAGATCTCACCTTCTCCCTGTCTTTGTCTCTCCCCAGCTCTGCTACTCAACCAAGGTGAGTGGAGTTACTTCTGGGCTTTGGGAGGGGGGTCACTGGAGAGAGGGTCTTGGGGGTGGGTCAGGCCTCAACCTCCCCTCCAGATCAGGTTTGAGGCAGATTGCAGGTGTGATCAATTTGGTGGGACCAGTGTGAAATTGGGGTGACAGGCTTAAAGGCCAAGATCATGTTTTGTTTGTAGTTAAGATGGGGAAAAAAGTAAGTCACAGAATCTGATGTGAGTTTGTGGTGGCATCAGTGGGAATCAGGTTTGGGGTCAAATAGAACTGGGTCGGGATTGGGGTTTCAGATCAGTATTAGGGCTTGGTCAAAGCTAAAATTAAGATGGAGATTGGCTTCTGTGTTTGTGGTGGGATCTGATTAGAACTGGGGCCAGACTGAGGTCAAAGCTAAGGTTGGAATTTGAGGTGAGTTTGAAGGATTTGAGGCTAGAGCTGGGGCCTAGGTCAGAGATTTGGGGTGAGAGTTTGGACTAGGGTCAGGGGCTTGGAGATAGTGACCGAGTAGTTTTGGAGTTGAGATCAGAATTGAGGTTGGGAGTTAAGATTAGGGATAGGCTGAAGATTATATTAGTCAGGGTAAGTAATACAAGCTGCTGTAAGAAATAGGCCCACAAATCCCAGTAGCTTAACACATTAAAAGTCATTTCTCACTCAAGCATAGTTTTGAGAGTGTTCTTGGTTGGTGAGTGGCTTTCTTTTGAGACCTAGGACTGGGTTGGTGCTGGGCTTGGAGCAAAGGGCCAGTATTATATATATATAAATCTATTTATCTAAATAGATAGTATATTTTCTATTATATATTTTATATATTATATAAAACCTCTTCCACAGGGTGGTATTGGTGATGGCGGTGATCATAATAAAGTAACATTTTTTTATTATTGTGTGCCAGGAACTGTTCTAAGCCCTTCACATGACTTAACTCCTTTAACTCTCATAACCACCTTATGAGGTCAGTAGTTATTGTACCCATTCTGTAGATATGAACACTGAGGCACAGTGAGACTAAGGCATTGCCCATGGTCACACAGCCCCTCTACTATATGAACCTCAGAGTCCACCAACCGAACTTCATGGACCAGCATGTGGGAGCTGGGCCTCTGTTTGGTGGTCAGATGGGAGGTTGGGACAGGCTGAGGAAGCCTTACCAAGGAGGCATCCCAGAGAAGAGCAGTGTTTTCTTTATGGATGGGAAGAGGTAGTGAAGGCATCGCAGGTGCCCTGGAGTCTAACTCCCATCCCTCATGCTGCAGGGGACGGGGACAGGAAACTGACAGCCGAGGAGGAAGAGGCTCGGAGGATAGCAGAAATGGGCAAGCCGGTTCTCGGGGAAAACTGTCGACTGGAAGTCATCATTGAGGAGTCATATGATTTTAAGGTGATTTTCTGGGGGCCCACCTTTCTGGAGTCTTGCCTGGATCATTTCCTTGAGGGGAGTCCAAGAGGGGATCAACTATGAGGGTCACAGGGAGGGGCACCCAAGGTCTGAGGGCACCCTCCACATCCCTCCGTTAGCACCATGGACAGCACACACCTCCCTTGTCCCTTCTTGCTAGTAGAACCCAGCTATGGAAAGTTGAGGACCCCTGAGCATGGGGTGTGAGCCCCCATCCCCAGGACCCCTCATGGAGCTCCCCTAAGGTGGTCATGGACCATGGTCTCTTCCCACCCTCTCATCCCCAGAATACGGTGGATAAACTCATCAAGAAAACGAACTTGGCTTTGGTGATTGGGACTCATTCGTGGAGAGAGCAGTTTTTAGAGGCAATTACGGTGAGCGCAGGTAAGTGGGGAGGGAGGAGAGAGGAAGAAGAGAGGGATGAAGAGACAGAGACAGACAGAAAAAGAGAAATGAAAAGGAGAAGGGAAGAGGGACAAGGAGAAAAGGTCAGAGAGAAGACAGGAGAGACACAGGGAAACGCTAAGAAAAAGACCAAGATACAGAGAAACAAAGGAAAAGATAGGGAACGAATACAAATAGGAGAGACAGACACATAGAAAAGCACACAGAAGGACAGAGATGCAGAGACAGCATGAAAGATGTAGGGAATGAGGAAGCAGAAGGCCAGAGAGAGAGGCAGAAAGTTGGCGGAGACAGGATCAGAGGTGGAGAGCTGTGGGAAGGAGGGGTCCCAGCCTGGACTTTCTCCTGTCATTCAGGCAATTGGAGGGTGGAAACAGGTTAAATGAAGCGGCCTCCCCTACTGGGCCTGGGCTCCTCTGTTACCATGGAGACAGTCACCAGGGCACCCAACTCTCCCACCCCAGTGTTTCTCACCCCTTAGGCCTCAGAAGGCCCACACTGCCCCCCTGTGGCCAGATGTATGATGACATGGATTCACAGACTTGGAGACTCTTCGTGATAGAGATTGGGGAAACTGAGGCCCAGAGACATAGGAGGAACTGGCTGAAGTCCCACAGGGAATCCAGAAAGAGCCATGGTGGAACTCAGGACTTCTGTCCCTTGCACAGCATCAGATTTTTTTCGTGGAGGCCAACCCTGGTGGAAACTAAACACACACAACGAATTGTGGTTGGAAAGAAACTGGTTGGTGGGATCAAAAGAAGCCAGGCATCAGGGATGGAAAAGTACCAGGTAGCAGGCCCAGAGACACCAGATTGTAACCCTAATAGAAGGGAAGGGGCATCCCCTCTGAAGCCACATTCTTCTTTCAACATCTATTTCTTTTTTATGTATATATCATCCATGAGTTTATTGTATTGTACATTTATTTGCATTAGAATCAATCAGCTTTGAGTACCTAAATAGTACACTTGTTTCTGTTGTTGCTGTTCAGTTGCTAAGTTGTGTCCAACTCTTTGCAACCCCATGGACTATAGCCCACCAGGCTCCTCTGTCCATGAGGTTTTCCAGGCAAGAATACTGGAGTGGGTTGCCATTTCCTTCTCCAGGGGATCTTCCTGACTCAGGAATTGAACCCATGTCTCTTAGGTCTCCTGCATCGGCAGGCAGGTTTTTTACTAGCACCACTGGGGAAGGGATTCTCTGGCCCCAGTCTGATGTAGCGACATTGCTGGAGGCAAAGAAATGCTCATGACAGCTTGGGCCCCGTTCTCACAGAGCTCACTGTCCAATGGGGAAGACAGACCTGGCACAAGAGAATGATGAGCCAGAGTGTGTAGGCCTGGGTTGGGGGAGCCCAGATCAGTGTCTGACCCAACTTGAAGGTCAAGGAGGGCTTTCTGGAGGAGGAGACTTCTGATCTGAGTCTTCAGATAGGAATAGGAGTTGGCCAGGAAGAGAGTGCCAGGTGGAGGGAAATGTTGCATATGGAAATGTGGGAGATTATGGCACATTTGGGGATGGTGACTGGTTTCAGGCATGAAGAAGAGGACTGGGATGAGGTTGGAGGTGAGCAGGCCTTAGAGGCCACAGGAGGGGGCTTGGGTGTCATTTTAGATGCAATGGGGAGCCGTGGAATGTTTTAAATGAGGGACACTTCTGGAGAGAGACAGCCTATGGAAAGAAGTGGGAGAGGGTGGGAGGGGATATGAGCTGAGACTGTCAAAACTGGCAGGAGCGATTTCCTGGTGGTGCAGTGGTTAAGGCTCTGGGCTCCCAATGCAGGGGGCATGGGTTCCATCCCTGGTTGGGGAACTAAGGTCCCATATGCCACACGATCAAATAAATAAGTAAATAAAATTAAAAATTGGCAGGAGATGGGTCAGGCAAGGTTTTGGAGGATGTGGCAAACAATTTGAGCTTCAAGAACAGTGGGAAGCCAGAACAATGTCTCTAGGGACATGGTGAACATAAGAGGGTTCATAAAACTGAAACTGTGGACATGAGATGGTGGTCATAGAGGCCACAAGTCTGTAGAAAGCAGGTGATTAGATTAGAGGAAGTAGTGATAATAATAACAGTAACAATAATCACTGTGATGATGATAATGATGAAGATGGGTTGAGTGTCAGGGAGCTTTGAAGTCCGTTTCCCGTGGGAACTCATTTAATGAGTGTCCCCAGGGTATCCGGGTTAGGGCTTGATCATTTTGTACTTCTTCCACAAATGGCTTTTGGTTCCTCCTGTGAACACAAAGCCTTTTGGTTCTCACTTCCTTAGGGGATGAATCATGTCCCACCTTGCACTTAGAGGAGCTTTTGTATTTCCTTTACCTCCCGTTCTCGGTGGAATGTTCTTTGCAGGCTGGACTTGGTTTTGAGCATCTTTGAATCCCCCCAGGTACTGGAAAAGGCCTTCAACAGCAATGGCCAGAACAATAACAATTGCAGTGGAGATGTGCCGGGTCCCATGGAGACCACATCACAGGGCCTGACTCATACAATCATCACAGCCTTCTCGAGGCAGGTCCAATTATTGCTTCCATTTCTCAAATAGCTATTTGGAGGCTCAGAGAGGTTAGGACACTGATTCAAGATCACACAGCAGATCCAACATTTGATACCAAAATGTCAGATCCAGAACCACAGCATACTCATAAAGCTCCCTCTAGATGAGAGGTGCTGGAGAAGTAAGCAGAGGCTAGAGCCTGTGGGTACTGGAAGTGTGGGAGTGTGGGCCTGGGTCTGAGAGCAATGGGGAGCTAAGGTAGGATTTGGAACAGGGAAGGGAGAAGCCCCAAGAGATGCAATGATAGCGGCCCCCTCCTTCCTAAGAGTGTGCCCTCCCTGCTCCAATCTGAGCCATGTGGTCAGTTAGGGATTCATTCAGTGACAGACTACAGAAAACTCGACCTTAAGTGGCTTAAGCACACTAGTTTATTTCTCCTATGGAACAAAAAAAAAATCTGTAGGAGGCAATAAAAAGTTAGCAGCAGCCTGGTAATGTTCATTAAAGGCCCAGGCTCCTTCTTTATTTCTCTTTCCCATTCTCAGCTGTAGCCCTCATGGTTGCAAGATGGCTGCTGTACCTCCGGGTAACAAGTCCATATTTCAGGCAGGGAAAAAAAGGCCCAGAAACAGGAAGGAGCAGAGTGCCTGTTGCATTTGAGATTCCAGTTGTTCTAATTGCCAGTTCCATTTTACTTATTTTATTTAAGCCAAGTGGCTATGTGAGCTGGAAAAGTAGGGAAGGGATATGTGACCCCAATCCCCAAATCCGCCCGTCTCTGTCTGCCTCCATGGCCACTAGCTGTCCTCTGCTCCTTGACATTCCAAGGAGCCAATGAGCGAGACCATGGAAAGTGGCTTCATTATTTGGTCGCTGGTCTTCTATTCCCTGACTTGCTCTGAGCCACTGGTCAGGGGTTACAGTGTTTCTTATCAGTACCCCTCCAGATGTAATTCTTGGCACACTCAAGTGTGTTCATTGCTTCTCATTCATTGCTTTCTGCTTATCAGTTTTGGGTGAGGGTAGGAAAACATTTCATTTGCACTTTCCCATTACACAAATCACTGCGGGTCAAAAGTGGGTTAAATTCGGTCACCATAGGTGACACAAACAACTTAGGATGAGGCATCCTTTACAAAACTCAGAGAACACATCCATGATAACAGTACCCCTATTGGGAAAGCTAGAGCTTTCCAGAAACCCTCTGTTTATGTCTCTTGGCCAGACAGGGTCATGTTGTCCCTGCTGCAAGGGATTCTGGGAAGCAAGTGTTTAGCTGAGGACATGACTGCTGCTGGCTGCAAGGAATCCTGGGGACGTGAATATTTTTATCTGAGGACAGCACTGTTGATAGCCCCAAGGGATTCTGGGGAAGTGACTAATGTTAGCTGGGTACAGGGTTCTCGCTAGGTTCAGGGGATTCTGGAAAATTGAGCACCTTTAGCTGAGCATGCGGCTACCGTCAGCTGTGATGAATCAGAGGAAGTGAATATTTCTAGGTGCAGACATGACTGCTAGTGACCGTAAAAGTTTCTGGGAAAAGCCATATCTTTAGCTAGGGATCTGGCCACCCCTAGCAGAAGGGATCCTGGGAAACTGGATTTTTTAGCTGGGCATGTGGCCTCCTCTAGCTTCAGGTGATTCTGGGAAAGTGAATATTTTCACCTGGGCCCAGACAGTCTCCTAGCTGCAAGGGATTCTGGGAAAGTAATTCATCTGGGAGTCAGACTGTCTGGAAGCTGAACAGAAGGGGGGCTCTGTAGGCGAGGAAGGAGGCACGGGCGTGTGCCCCAGCTGGGTCGTGTGCCCACAGGGGACGAGGAGGAGGAGGAGGACGGGTCCCGGGAGGAGCGGCTGCCGTCCTGCTTTGACTACGTCATGCACTTCCTGACGGTGTTCTGGAAGGTTCTGTTCGCCTGCGTGCCCCCCACCGAGTACTGCCACGGCTGGGCCTGCTTCGGCGTCTGCATCCTGGTCATCGGGCTGCTCACCGCCCTCATCGGGGACCTTGCCTCCCACTTCGGCTGCACCGTTGGCCTCAAGGACTCTGTCAACGCTGTCGTCTTTGTGGCCCTGGGCACCTCCATCCCTGGTAACCTCTCGGGAGACCACTTGTTGGGGGAGGGTCTCAGAGAAGCCAGGCAGGTAGAGAAGCCCAGGAGAAAGGTCCTGCAGAAATAAGGTGGAGGAATCACACAGAACCAAGTCTGGTGGGTGCCTTGGGAATAGGAAGGTGGGTATATAGAATCTAGGTGGGGGGAGCCCATGGATTCAATTTGTTGTTGTTATTTAGTCACTAAATCGAGTCTGACTTTTTGTGACCCCATGGACTGTAGCCGGCCAAGCTCCTCTGTCTATGGGATTTCCGAGGCAAGAATTCTGGAGTGGGTTGCCATTTCCTTCTCCAAGGGATCTTCCTGGCCCATTGAATCCATGTCTCATGCACTGGCAGGTGGATTTTTTTACCACTGAGCCATGTGACTTGAATTCTCCCCGAAAGCAACTAGGTGGAATGTCCCATAGAAGTAAGGCAGTAGGAAATGGTAGAAACCAGATGATGGATTTTATCAGAAGAAAGTGGCAGGACATTGAAGAGACAGGTGTTGGAAGGGGAGGGGCATAGAAAGAAGGTGGGGACTCCATAGAAACCATGCAGTGAGTTCCATAGAAACAAGATATTCATATTCACCTCCCCTCCCCCCGCCAAGGAACCAGATGGAGATTCCATGGACCTCCGTTCCTGGGCGTGATCAGAACCAGGCCACCAGGCTCTAACCAGGCCAGTTAAAGCCATCAAAGCTTTAACTAAGATGAGGGGCCGAGCAGAAACCAGATGTGAGGGGAAATGCCATAAAAAGAAGACTCAGAGATGACAGCATATATTCTATTGAATCACCATGGCCAGGAATCTCTTCTTCCCCCCAAATCTGAGGGAGGGTCCCTGAGAAACCAGGTGGCACAGACAAACTCCTACAAGAGGCAGAAAACTAAGCTCAGAGCCTGACACCTTTCTTTTCCTCATCATCAAATGCATTCACCAGCCAGGTGGTGGTGCTGTAGGCCCAGAAAGCAGGTGGTAGGGCCTGCAGAAAGCCACCACGGTGAATGTTTCTGAGGCCTGCCCTCCACTCTAGAGACCTGCGAACTTAGCAAGATAGCTAGAAATCGATGGAGGCCGGAGAAGCGAAGCTGTAGGCTCGACAGAAGCCAAGTGGGGAACTGAGGGGCAAGAGGTGCCGTGTGGGTGGGGCCTGACATTTGTCCAGACAGATGGCAATGGGGTGACCGGGCCTGTGGAAACAGGCAGGAGGCGATTCATGGGAAACAGGTAGTGATTCCCATCGAAAGCAGGCAGTGAGTCCCAGAGAAAGTAGGCAGCGGGCCCTACAGAATAGAGTAGATTCCACAACAATATGGCAGTGTGTCCCACACGAAGTAGACTGAGTTCTACAAAAGGCAGGCAACAAATCCCACAGAAAGCAGGCAGCAAGTCCTACACAGAGCAAGCAGCAGAGCCCATAGAATATAGACTATTGTGGGGAATAGTAGAAACTAGGCAGGGGACCCCATAGATTGAATATGTCCACTGAATCCTTGCCCCAAGGCAAATAATGAGATGTCCCATAGAGGTGGTGGGAAATGGTAAAAACGAGATGATAGATTCCATACAAAGAATGTGGCAGGGCATTGAAAAGACAGGTGATGGGAGAGGGTTTTATAGACTAAGGTGAGGACTTGATAGAAATCACGAAGCAGGTCCCATAGAAGTGCTGAGTTCCAGAGAGTGGGTAGTGGATCCAGACACTGCATGCAGATCTTGCATGCAATGCATAGATCGTGCATTGCATGCAGACCAACCCTTTAGAGAGCAGGCAGTGAGTCCCCTAGAGACAAATGATGAGTTCCAGAGAGCAGGTAGTGCATTCCATTGGATGCAGACACCTTCCATAACAAAACAGGCGACCAGGTCTATAGCCAGCAGGTACAGGTCTAGAAACTGACTTTGGGTTTCCCCGGTGGCTCAGATGGTAAAGAATCTGCCCTCAATGTGGGAGACCCACATTCGGTCCCTGGGTGGAGAAGATCCCCTGGAGAAGGAAATGGCAAACCACTCCAGTTTTCTTACCTGGAGAATCCCACAGGCAAGAGGAGCCTGGGGGGCTACCGCCCATGGGGGTCGCAAACAGTCAGTCCCACACGACTGAGCGACTAACACTTTCACTTTGCCCCCTGGGTGGGATCAAGGGCACAGAACTCCAGAAGAGGGAAAAGTCTGGTTTCTACCATTTCGCACCACCTTAGTTCTATGGGACATCCCATTGGTGGCTTTGGGGGCGAGGATTCAGTTCACATATTGAATCCATGGGGCCCTCTGCTGGAGCTCTGACCACGCTGGATCCTCAGGGTCAGCGGGGTGCTGGTGGGTCTCTCTGGGAACCAGGTGACTGACGGATGCTTGCGATGAGGGGAGGGTGTCACCCGCTGAGCGCCCTCTGACCCTCGGTGTCCCCGCCCCGCAGACACGTTCGCCAGCAAGGTGGCGGCGCTGCAGGACCAGTGCGCCGACGCGTCCATCGGCAACGTGACGGGCTCCAACGCCGTGAACGTGTTCCTGGGCCTGGGCGTGGCCTGGTCGGTGGCCGCCGTGTACTGGGCGGTGCAGGGCCGCCCCTTCGAGGTGCGCACCGGCACGCTGGCCTTCTCCGTCACGCTCTTCACCGTCTTCGCCTTCGTGGGCATCGCCGTGCTGCTCTACCGCCGCCGGCCGCACATCGGCGGCGAGCTGGGCGGCCCGCGCGGCCCCAAGCTCGCCACCACCGCCCTCTTCCTGGGCCTCTGGTTCCTCTACATCCTCTTCGCCAGCCTCGAAGCTTACTGCCACATCCGGGGCTTCTAGGGCCCTCCACAGGGACTCGGCCTCTAGCCTCGAGACCGCTGCATCCGTGCTGGACTGCATCCTCTTTGTCCCCCGGAGATGCAACCTCCTCTCCGGGGACTCGGTCGCCCGTTCCCCAGGGACGTGATCGACCCCCCCCCACCCCTCCCCACCCCCCCCCCACCCCACCGGCCTCAACCCGTCCTCCGTCCCCACTAACAGCCTTCACTCTTCTTATCCGGGGCCTCCCCAGGTCCTCCTACAAAGAACAGCTCCTGCAGTTACCTGCAACTCTTGCCCTTTTCCCTGTTAGTTACTGGCTATGTTCCTGGAGATATTTCCACCTCGAGGCCCCTCCCCGGAGAACCCTCCCCCATCTGTGACCCTCTCCATCTCTCTCCTGAGACTGCCAGCCTTGCTCCATCCCATAAACCCCCGGTCCTCAAGAGGAACACCCCCACCTCCTTCCAGGAACCTGTGCCCCAGGACCTCAGAACTTAGCCCTCCCTGAGGGGCCCTTGAAGGAGGCAGATCCATCCCAGGATGTCATGGATCTCAGCCCTTCCCCCAAGCCTCAGGGAGCTCCGTCGGCCTCGGGGGGTAGGGGGACAGGTGGGTGCGTGCAGGGGGGAGGGGACACACCTCCCTCCTCCCCCACCTCCGATTTCTCCACTCAGGCCCTTGGGAGGACGCTAATTCTCGAGGCTTGGAGAATGGAGGGAAGGGGAGACGTTTGGGGTTTCAGAGCTGGAGGAGGCACACTTTGGACCCGTAACTTCTCACATTCCAGAGCTCCCACTTGCCTCCACTACCTCTGAGAGCCCAGCCATGCCTTGGAGGGGAGGGGGCCTGTGTGTGTATATAGTGTTTGGGGGAGGGGGGATGCGGGAGGGTGCATGACTTGGGGAAAAGGGGGGTGACAGGCTTTTCTTTCGAGAGGGCAGAAGACACCCCCAGCCGTGAGAAGCGGCTTTGGGGAGGAGGCCGGGGATCCATGGGAGTATAGCCAATCTCCCCCGACAATCTAGAAGGCTCACTTTGCCCTCAGTGCCAGCCAATTTGGGCAGGACCCTCGAAGAGGAGACCGAGGGTCCCAGAGGACCAATGCTACAAGCCAGCAAATGCTGCCACATCTCTGCCTGATGGGGAGCAGGGGTGGGTGGGAGGGTGGGATGGGGGTCAGGGGGTCTGGGCGGGCGTTTTTAACTTTGGAGGCCACCTATCTGTTGGTCGGCCATGTACATTTTCTTACTGTTGATGTTTCCTGCCCAAAGGACATACTTGGGGTGTGAGGAGTGCTGCCTACTTCTTGGGACCCTGAGGATGACCCTGCACCCCCATAACACCCTGCTTCCCACCGGTTTTTAGTGTCCTATCCTCCTGTTGTGCATCGCCCCCGATATCCCAGACCTGTTGCCCACTCCCTTCTCTACTCCCAGCTCATCAGCACTAGTCGCTGTCTCTTTGTGATTTCTGTAAAAGTTGCCATAAAACTGACATTCTGCCTGGAAAAACGGCCTCCCCGTGGGAAGTTGAAATTCACGATGAGAGAGCTAATGAAGTCTTTGAGATTTGGGCAACTGGAAAATACACCAAATAACCTGGGTTTTTCCATGTTCCCAGCATCTTCTGCAGGACACGCCTGCTTGCACCAGCCACTCTGAAGGTCCGCCCAGAGCGTCCCTTCGCCACGCCCCTACTTATTACCCTGGAGCTTCACTAGCCACAACCCCCATACATCACCCAAGCGCTTCCCTGGCCACGGCCCCTCGCCACCAAGGAGCTTTCCCTAGCCATGCCCCCATTCCCTCCGCCACAAACTCTTCTACATCATAGGGTATCCTGGGAACACAAAAGAGAAGGATCCTGCGTTGCCTGAGGAAGAGAGCTGGGGTTGATGGGGGTTTCCTAAAGAAATCAGGTAACCTTCTCAGAGGATGTGTGTGTGTGTGTGTGTGTGTGTGTGTGTGTGTGTGTGTGTCCCGATAAAGGGCACAGCCTGTTTAAAAGTGTCCAGCCTTGTGAGTTAATGATTGTTTGGTCGTCTTGCAAGTGGTTGAATCCTACAGGCAAGAATGGAGTGTGGACACATGAGGAGTAGGTCTGAGAGGGAGGGACTGGACAGTGTGAAGAATTTCCAACCCAGAGAGTGAGTGAGGGCTTGGAGAGCCAAGTGGGGATAAGTACGAAGGACAGGCTTAGAGGATTCAGGGGAGTTCATGACGAACGTGAGATGCCTGTGAGACATCTAGAGGGGACGTCAGGGTGAAGAGACATCCGGGGGACACCTTGAGCTCAGCCCAGGGAGCTGCACTTGAGAGAGACTTGGGGTTTGTTGGCAAGGAGGTGTCACCAAGCCACAGGAGGGGGTGGGGCTGCCCTGGGGCCTGGGTAGCAGGAAAAGAAAGCAGTGCCTTGAGGACCCCTAACACCTAAAGGCCACATGGAAGGGGGGAGACCTGTCGAGGAGAAGAAGCCAGAGAAGTTGGTGGGAAACCAGGAGAGTGGGGCACCTGAAGCCAAGAGAAGTTTCTAGAATGAGGGCGTGGTCAGCAGGACCCAAGGCCGTGAAGAAGTGGAGGAAGATGAGAGCTTAAAGGCTCCCCTTGGGTTTAGATCTTGACATGAAAAGTTGAGGGGTGAGTGTGGGAGTAGAATTCAGGCTGAGGTAGAGTGAGGAGGGGGTAGAAGGTGGGGAAACTGAGTCAGAGCACGTAGATCAGACTTTGGAGACTCTTGAGAGAAATAGTTTCTAGAGGAAGCTATGGGGCCTGAGAGAGCTTTTCCTGCAAGGTGGGGAGAGGTGTGGCGCAAGAGGGCGCTGAAAGTAAGGGACCTGAAGCTGGTGAGAACAATGCCAACAGCCGCCGGGCATTAAGGAGTGCCGTGATGCCTGCACTGTGCTGGGCTCAGCCTTACGCGGTCTGCCATCAGGCCTCAGAGTCACTCCCTTCTACCAGTGAGGAAACTGTGGCTCAGAGAGAGGAAGCAGCTTGCCCAAAGTCCCACAGCCAGGAACGGCAGAGATGACATCCAGGGTGCAGAACAGGACCAGGACACCTCTAATTAGACCAGATGTGAACCAGGACAGCGGGGACGGAGGCAGGGAAAAGTGTGAGCCTGGGGACAGGGAGAGGAGTGGGATCTTGGCTTCAAAGAAGGGCATCTCCAGAGCTTGGGATGTGGACACAAGAAGGAGTATCACGATGCCCATTCACCCCACTAGCAACGCCATGTTACTCACCTGGATGCAAGGGGTTCCGAGGGGCAGCTTGGGAGCAATTTGAATTATTTGTCATAGGAGATGACATAGCATTATGATTTAATGTCTTGGTGCTTCAGTTCCTTCATCTGGAAAATGGGGATAATATAGTAATATTAATAAGATGGGGCTTCCCTGGTGGCTCAGATGTTAACCATCTTTATCTCTACGAATCTGCATGCAATGGGGGAGACTTGGATTCAATCCCTGGGTCAGGAAGATCTCCTGAAGAAGGGAATGGCTACCCACTCTGGTATTCTTGCCTGGGAAATTCCATGGACAGAGGAGCCTGGTGGGCTACAGTCCATGGGGTCACAGACTTGGAGACGACTGAGCGACTTTAACAATTTCACTTTCAATAATAATAGGAACTAATAGTGCCTAATAATAATAGGAACTGATACTAAGAAGTCCCTGTTTCACAAGATTATTGTATTAAATTGTATTTAATTGTATGATTATTGTATTTAACATACATATATATTTTTTAGACTAATACCTAACAACAGTAAGAGCTTAGGCAAGAGGGTAAGGGGGCTACAGAAGATGAGATTGTTGGATGGCATCACTGACTCAATGGACATTAAGTCTAAGCAAACTCTGGGAGATAGTGAAGGACAGGGAAGCTTGGTGTGCTGCAGTTCATGGGGTCCCAGAGTCAGATACGACTTAGTGAGTGAACAACAAAGTAAGAGCTTAGTAGATGGGAATAGTTATATTTTCCAGTTTACTTGCTCATTTACACACACACACACACACACACACACACACACACACACACACACACCCCATCCAGGAACAACTAGCCTCAAAAGGACAGAGAAATGCAAGACTTCCCATGAACTGCTTTGTCACCTGAGTCTCAGTTGTTCAATCATCAGGCCCAAGGGACAAGAAATAGACAAGGGGGAGTATGCCTTCCTCTCCCTGCAGACCCTGGGATCCTTTCATTCACTTGTCCATTGGGTGCCTGCCTCTGTCTGGTGCTACGCATGGGACACTGCAGTGACCAAAATGTCACTGGGCCCTGTTCTTCCCAGGCTGACACTGTGGTGGGGGGAACAGATACCCAGCAGGGTGCCAGAGGCGGTGGTCTCTTGCTGGGACTTGTGAGGGCAAGGATTCTGTAGTAAGACACTGCAGGACGCCCATGTACCGAACTGGGTGACTTAGGCAAGTGTTAAAAAGGAGATATTAACAAGGCTGTGCGCGGTGTAGGGAAACAGGCAAGGGATGGTGGGCAGTCTTGGGCTAGAAGATAAGATGTTCCCACTCCTGTCCTGCCAGGCTGGTTTCTGGAACCTGGAGAGGTGCTCTATGTAAGCCCTCAGAAGTGTAAAATGTCAGTCATGTCCAACTGCGTCCCCATGGACTGTAGGCCACCATGTTCCTCTGTCCATGGAATCCTTCAGGCAAGAATACTGGAATGGGTTGCTGTTTCCTTCTCCAGGGGATCTTCCCAACCCAGGGATCAAACCTAGGTCTCCCACTTTGCAGGCAGATTCTTTACCCTTTGAGCCACCAGGGGAGCCCCATAAGAGCTTCCTATTCATATTTTTATTAATAGCAATTAGGTATGAGTTTAGATGTAACTAGCAGAGATCCAAAATAGTAGTGGTTTAAATAAGATTAGAATTCATTTCTCTCTTGTGTTCATAGCTGGTACGGCAGCTCTATTTCAGGAAAGTGTTAGTCGTTCAGTCCTGTCCGACTATTTGCAACCCCAGGGACTGTAGCTCTTTTGTGCATGGGATTTCCT